TTTGCAAAGTCGGAGGTGGAATATCTAGGCCATATTATGACATCTAAGGGTGTCAAGACGGATCCAAGGAAGGTGGCTGTGGTGGAAAACTAGCTTACACCGACTATAGTGGCCGAGTTGCATAGTTTTCTTGGTATGGCTAGTTACTATCGACGTTTCCAGCATAAGTTTGTAGAGGTGGCTATTCCTTTGATGCGGTTGTTACGCAAGAATGTGCCATTCAAGTGGAAGAAGCCATAAGAGGAGAGCTTTGTGGCGCTGAAACGATTGTTGAGCAAGACTCCAGTGCTTCGCATTGCTGATCCATCGGAACCTTACAAGGTGACATGTGATGTGAGTGGTTATGCACTAGGAGGAGTTCTCATGTAGAAGGATAGCCTATTGCATATGAGAGTCAAACTTTAAATTCCACAGAGCAACACTATTTCATATATGAGCAAGAGTTATTCTCTATTGTTCATGCTTTGCAACGTGGCAACACTATCTTTATGGTGCAGTGTTCGTGGTGTTGATAGATCACAAACCACTTGTGTATCTTTTCACACAGAAGGAGTTAAACATTAGGCAAGCTCGTTAGATGGTCAAACTCATGGAGTTTGGGGAGTTTCCTATTAAGCATCGTCTGGGAAAATCAAATGTGGTGGCAAATGCTTTATCTCGTGTTCATCATGTGATGACATTACAAACACAATTTTGTCATCATTTGAGTAAAGTGGTTAGCGAGTTTGGCAGTTGGTTGAGCATGCTCAAGCTCAGGATGCTGAGGTGGCCTCTTTGCGAGACTAAATAGAAGCCTCTTTCTCATTAGTGGATGGGATTCTCTACTACAATGGCTGTGTATATTTGCCATGGGTGGATGCATTAATTACTCAAGTTTTATTCCACTATCATGATCATCCAGAGGCTGGTCATTTTGGGGGGAAGAAGACGTATGACTTGATTAAACACAATTTTTATTGGAGGAATATGAAGGTTGATATCCTCAAGTATTGTAAATCATGCGAGCTCTATCAATAGATTAAGGTGTCACAGGAGAAGCCGGGGGGACTTTTGCAACCTTTACCTATTCCTCAGAGCCATTGGTGTAGTATCTTTATGGACTTCATCACTTGTTTGCCATAAACACATATACAAAAGGAGCAAGTATGGGTCATAGTGAATCAGTTGACGAAGTATGTGCGGTTGTTGGCTCTTTGGAAGACTATCACTGCCTCAGACTTGGCTGCGGTTTACACTGAGAAGGTTTTTCCTGATTTTGGTTTGCTAGAGGACATCATTAGTGATTGAGATTCAAAGTTCACCAGTGGATTTTGGAAAAGCTTTGCAAAGGCTATGCAAGTGACTTTGAAACTCTCGAGTGGAGATCATCCTCAGACGAATGGGCAAACCAAGCGTGTGAATCAGGTGGTGGAGGATATGCTACATTGTAGCATTGGTCAAAGGCAAGGACAGTGGGATCTATATCTTCTGTCGGTGCAATCTGCTTACAACAATAACCACCACAGTGGAACCAAGTTAAGTCCTTACTTTGCTATGTTTGGAAGGCATCCCCGAACAGTGGTGGAGTTGGGATTGCATTTGAGCAAGGACATTCAAGATAAGCTTGATTCCAAGGCCACTAATCTGGCTACAGAACTTGATGAGTTTTTGGTGGTGTGCAAACGAAACTTGCAAGCAGCTTAGGATAGAGGGGAGAAGTTTACCAATGAGCATTGCCAATTCTAGGAATATAAAGTGGGTGATTTCGTCTTTATGCAAGTGATCTTTCTGTCAAGTGAGCAGCAGACCACCTTAGTGCCTTTACGGACAGGGAAGAGTGATAAACTTTCCCATTGATATAGTGGTCCATATGAAGTGCTAGAGCGCATTGGTAAAGCGGCTTATCAGGTGTAGCTGCCAACTGGGGTGAAAATTCATCTAGTATTTTATGTTAACCAGTTGAAAGGTGTACTATCTTGGAATGACAAGCCTAATGCCTCCTTGATGTATATAGCTGTGGAAGATGGACCAAGAACTTGAGCAAGGTTCCCCAGAAAGGGTGATCACTAGTACAACTCATCCTTAGAATAAGGACTTTGTTGGGGGGGAAGAATTGTTAGGCACCAGCTTTGACCACGTGGTCAACTTCGGTCAAAGGGAAGATCAAGGGTATATTAAGGCATGATAGGGTAACTCACAGTGGAGCAGCGGCACAATGGAGCTTTTGAGGTAGTTCGGGGGTGGTTGGGTGGTGAGGAACCTTAAGAGGTGGCATAGCATAGTCTAGGGCGACTAGATCTTTGTCTTTTTGTGCCGAATCATAACATTGTCTCTAGTGAACTCCACTAGTGGGATCAAAAGCTGGTGGAAGACCCAGGAAAGGTTTGTCAGCCTCGTTTTCGAGCTTCTTCTGTGAACCTAGTTCGGTTTCACCATCGGGTTCAAAGTTGATAACCAAGGTATGTTGGCGGAGAAGCAGGGTGTGATGAACGATTGAGGTAGCCAGGTCTTCAACCCGGGAGCTGCATGTGTCTTCATCCACCAGAAGAAGAGATCCATTGGCAGGCTCTGAAGAGCTCTTTCTTTCTGCCGGTGGGAGATCAAGCCTCGGGCAGTGATGGAGGCCACCATTGGAGTGACAGTGGCCTCCTCGATCTCCGGCGGGCTCAGCTCAAAGCTGGAGCGGGAGCTGAGGCTCTGGGAGTGATGGAGCCTACCTTCGGAGTCCTTGATTTTCTTCCGCTTCCTGCCAGCATTATTCTTCTCCCGGGTGAGCTCACTCTTGGCCCAGGTGAGATCCTTGCCACTGGAAACATCACGGAGCAGCACATCATAGGAGAAGCTCCAGCTCATGCAATGATGATCCTGGGAAAGGTCTCGTCCACGCTTTAAAATTTGCTAGAATATGCTGGCTTGAGAACAATAAATATAACAAGTTTGCCATGCACACAATCTCATAGTGTGTTTTCCACGTTGGGCACTTGTTAAAGCAGGGCTCCTGTTCAGCATGAACTTGTACACCAGGAGGTCACAGTTGTGGAGCTTGAAGAAGGCGTAGAGCTTGATGATGTTCCTGGCCAATAACAATCTCATTTTTTGCCAATACTTTTTTGACTTTTCAGTTCTTTTATTATCTCTCTCTCTCTCTCTCTAGATGTGGAAGATCAAGCTGGCGTTTGTGGCAGAGAGGTCCATGGTGGGGAAGAACTTGGAGTGCATTCTTCTCCACTACCCAATGTGACTATGGATGAGTGTATGCCACTGTTCAAGTGCCATGGCCTGGATGGCGAGAGGATGGCACAAATTTTGGCTTGAGAAGGATATTTAAATACTTGTTCCACTTTTTTGTTGACCCTTCAAAATAGTATCTGTATTAATGCTTTTTCTCATCCTTCCACTACTAATGTTTAGTAGTTTAGGGTTTAGGGTTTAGGGGTTTAGGGGTTTAGGGGTTTAGGGTTTAGGGGTTTAAACCCTAAACCCTAAACCCTAAACCCATCCATCCAACGGTTGTCCAGTTGTCGGCAGCCACATGGAGATGCAGGTGAATATTCCTTTCTCTGGAAGAATTAGGGTTCTTGGAGTGTCGCGGGGAGTAGGGAGATGAGCATAGTCCACAACTCATGGTGCCAGCAGCATCCACACCAGCCGTTAGTGTTATTGACAGAGTGGATATTAAGTAGGTCTACCAGAATAGACTACAAGCAACCTTTAACCTGCAAACTAAGTTGGAAAGTCAGTCAGGACCTTTAGTCCCAAAGCTTGAATTGTCTCTGCTACATTTCCTTGGCAACATTTTCCATCTCTCTCATAGTCCAGTGATTTCGTGTACTCCATGAGCTGAACTCGATGATCACTGCATTTGCCCAGAGAGGGCAACAGCATGGATTTCCAGCACGAAGCACGTACGTACAATGTGGGCACCCAGAAAACGCCAAATCAATCTTTGCCATCATGGAGATCTGAATGACCCTTTCCTGAACAAGAGTGCTCTGGTACACACAAGCTCAGATTGTCAAACACCTTGACCTCGTCAAAACACCTTTCAGGTGACCTTCAGGACACCTTTTCAGCTTCTTTTTCTCCATTTACATCATTGAAAAGATTTTCAATAGTGCCAGGGGAGATGCTCATATCATATATATATCCCATTGATGTAATAGGTTCTTCCACCTCCCCATCCTCTGGCGGTGCAGTGTAAGATAAAATGCACAATGAACTTAGAAATGAGGTCGCTTTTGTGGATCGTTATCCTCATCATCAAGCATATCACACAGCTCTGCAAAATGGAGAAAATGTCCAGGACTCAATAGATACACAAAATAAACTTGCCTCTAGCACATCATGTTCCCAAGAACCTAGTGGCAGCTGTGGCAATTTAGAATAAAGACGATGAACTCCTAGCTTCAATGTCACTAAAATTAACGTCTTGCTCTCATCTTTGTAGCTTCCAACAATGGCTTTACAAGCCTCTACCAAACCTGCGAAAGAAACGTCTTTATTATCATAGTACAAAGAAACAAGCAAGAGCTTATCACTGTTTTGATTTGTGTTCCTAGGATTGGCCGTAAATCACCAATGGTAGACCTGGATATTTCTTCTGAAGCAATCGCCTCCATTCAACCGTCAGCTTAGCCCATTTTTCCTGTATCTAAGACCACACAGCTCTTGAAACAAGTGATGGCAGACTAGCTCATTTTTCCTACATCACATTTGGACGTTTTGAGACAACGCAAGAACAGTAAAACACACATCACGAGTGCAGGTCATAACTGACAGTAGACTATTAGGTCATAGCCACCACAGAACACGGATGGTAAAACCTGTTAGACTGGCCACATGTTACAACAAGGTTAAGCTTGAACTGCATCCTCTGTTTGACCAAAACCAAAACCGACCAAAGGACGTGGCATGGAGCTGAGCTGGCAGGGGATTCTTGGGGTCTTGATGGATTGATGAGGGGTGGTGCCAGTGCTCTGCACTTTACAAGGAGAATCGTCGCATTGACAGCAGCCACCATGTAGAAAAATGGCTCGAGTAAATAGTCAGCCGTATTATATCAACTCCTTTCATACAAGAAACAAATAGAGCTCGAGGGATCATGAAATTTGTCACACGATGCTTGGGGGATCGCCAGTCCAGTTCGACGTTGCCCTTTGCCATCTCGTCCGGATGCAGTCGGTCAACGGCGCATGCTGAGCCGGTTCCTCTCTCTTGTCATCACTCTGCGTGTTCTCCTCTACTGCAGGCCCTTCCACGGTCATCATGGACTCTGGTGTCCACCTCGGAGGAACAGCAACCTTGAGCTTGGTCAGTCTTGGCCTCTGCTGCATCACGTCTGCCGCGCCTGCACTGCTGCTGCCGCTGCTGCCCGCTACAGTCTTCGCGATACCGTTGAAGTGATACAACTCAAAGTACTTCTTCCCCATTGACCCCTCTTCGTCTTTGAGGCCGCCTCTACTCTTTTCAAGGTGCATCAAGCTTTGCCACAAGTCGTTCCAGATCACGATGTCACTGCTGCAAAGATTGTCTAGAACCTGCTGTGGCATGTCAACGTTGGTGTCGATTAGAACCTGCTGTAGTGCCTCCAGGCTAATAAATCCTCCTCCCCCGCTTTGATCCTGGGCATCAAACGCCCTACGGATGGTAAACTCCCTAGCCTCGACCTCGTTCTCGTCTTGAACGCCCGTGTCAAGAGCAAAAAGGACCGTGTAGTGGGACTCGCTGCCTACCACCCAGATTGGCCACTTTGGTCGCTTCAGGTACTGACCAACTTTGCAGAAGTTGAGAGACTCTAGCAGAGTTAAAAATCCCACTTCCACGTTGGACGGGATTCCCTTGAGGCTCATGCCACCCCCAAGGTCGTAGTTCCCGTCAAACACATTTGCAACAGCCTGGCCGCAGAGCAGCAGGTTTACAATCTCCTGCAAGAGACGAGCAAAGAGAGGTCAGGCCCACGAGAAAAAAGGAGATGGTTTCCTAACAGCTTAAGAGCACAGCAAATGGGTAGGGCAGACAAGAAAAGAAGAGAGTAGCGTAATCCTTCCGCAGAAGCTCCAGATTACAAAACCTGGACCAGCAAAAACTGGTATTAGACTGCTACCAAGATGCAAGCTCACGCAGGGCTCGACTCTCTGTGTTATTCTCCTCCCACACTTTTTCGCCAATCACGCAGCTGTAAATGATATGCTCCGAAAACGTCACCGTACCTGAGATGCATGACCAAATGGAGGAGTAACCAGAGGTTGAACTGGATCATCCCGGTCCGACTGGACAGCGTCCTGGATGTGGAACAAGAAAGTAATGCTTGCATGAATCAAATAGACGAGACATACCAGGCCCCTTGATAGCAGTGCCGAGAAGAGAAACAAGAGAGCACCCATACGACTCCTGAACCCAGCAATCCTCTCCTGGATTTGCTGATAAAGGGTAGACAGTGACAAGACTGTGCATATTCTAACAGCTTCGCGCAGTCCGGTGGCCGAATCCAGAGCCACGCTTTCCAAAACCTGGGCAGCACCATCAGTATCAGCATATGTGCAAACCAACACCGTACTCTGTCTTGCTCTTCCTCGCTAGCGTCTGGTATGTCCATAACAGCCAGCACAGCTCTTTGGTTTCCTCCTGCTCGCCATAGCGTCTCAGCCATCGCTTGAATCAGCGCACTAGGGAAGATACAGACAGTTAACGAAACACAAACGACAAGTTCTCTACCTGGTTCGTTCGGAGTCCTGGAATTCAAGCTGGGAAGCATCTCGCTTGTTAGGCACGAAGAGAAGATACTTGAGCAGGGTGGCCTGGGAGGGACAAAACGCACGATCCAATTCTCTCATCCAGAGTACAGACTAACTTGATACCTGAATGGTTGCGAGCACGCCGCAAGGACCACCCTCATGCTGTACGAGTCCCAGTGATGTCTCCAGGTCGGAGCTAAACCTTTTTTTTTTTTTTTTTTGAGCAAAACGAGAAGAAGGTGAAGGGAGCGCGGAGAGAAGAAAGGTGGTTACCTGAATCCTTGGTTGCACCACTGCGCAAGGACTTCCCTGGTGACCTGAGGCCCAAAAACCATTTGGTGTAACTGCTCAGCAACAGGAAGAGGCAGCTCTTCTCCAGCTTTGGTGTTGCTGGAACTGCAACTGGAAGAAGAGGGGGGAGTAGCAGCAGCATTACCAGAGCCTTCCAGCTCCCTCGTGATGGAAGGAGTCGGGTTTCCAGCCGCGGACAGCCTCCGCTTCTCGGCAGCAGCGGCCCGGATCTCTCGCTGGAGCCTGCGTTGCGATGCTTCGTCGGGCGCCTCGGCAGTGGTGTCCCGCGACTTGGTTCGCTTTGCCTCCGGCCCAGGCTGCAAGCTCATCCGAAAAGCCCTTTGGAGCTCCTCGTCATCCAGCGCTTCCATCTGTTCCTCCTCCGCCCTAGGAGCCCATTAGGGTTAGGGCGCTCCTCCTCCACAGGAGGTAGGGATAAGATGCTTGGGACGAGGCCGTCAGGGAAACGAGGTGATTCGCCGCGCGAGCTGCCAGTGATTGATGCTCCGTTTGCCCTCGGCACGCCACCAGCAGGCTCGTCCACTCGTGCTCATCCGGTTCAAATGGCATGTTGGCCACCAGATCCCGGGCGTCCTCCACGTCTCCGGCCCGCGCCAGGATGCCCACAAGGCAGCTGTAGTGGTGCTTGGTAGCGGCCACCCCAAAATCCAGCGCCATGGAAGCAAAGCGCCGGCAGCAGCAACAGCTTGGGGACGATCTGCCTTTGTTGCTGCTCTTGGACGCTATGGCAATGATGGCCATAGCAAGGGTTGCGGCGTCCGGGACCTCCACCGTGTTCATCGCGTGGAAGAGGTCAAGCGCCTGTCCAAAATGCCCGCTGTGGGCACAAGCCGCCATGGCCGAAGTCCACAGCGTCACGCTTCGGTCCGGCGCGCTGTCAAAGAGTCTCTGGGCCTGGCGGAGAAAACCGCCTCGCGCATATCCCGATATCAGTGTCGTGGACGACACCACGTCCTGCACAGGCATTCTCTCGAACAGCCTCTTGGCCTCGTCCAAATGCCCGCTGTGGGCGTAAGCAGCCAAGAGGGCATTCCAAGAGAACACGTCCTGCTCCGGGAGGCTGTCAAACAGCTGCTTTGGCTCGTCAACCTTGCCGTGCCGTGCAAACGCAGCGATGAGGGCATTCGCGGACACCAGATCCGCCTGCGGCATGCTGTCAAACACCTCCTTGGCCCGGGCCGGGTCGCGGGCGGCGCAAGCGGTGATCATGGCTGTGCACGACACCGAGTTTCTCATCGGCATCGCATCGAACAGCCTCGTGGCGTCGTCCACGCGGCCGCTCCCTGCAAGCACCACTAGCATCGCCGTCCACGACACGAGGCTCCTCTCGGGCATGCCATCAAAGAGCTCCTTGGCCTCCTCCACAAGCCCCTGCTTGGAGTAGGCAGCAAGCAGCGTGTTCCACGCCACAAGGTTCCTCTCGGGCATCCGATCAAACACCTCCTTCCCGCCCAGAGCGAGCAGCGTCGTCCAGGTGACCACATTCGTCTGCGGCATCTCCTCCAAGGTTTGCTTGGCCCTGGCAACGTGCCCAGCCCGGGCATATGCCAGGAGCAGCGCATTCCACGACACCAGGCACCTCTGCGGCATCCCTGTGAAGACCTCCTCGGCATGCGCAATGGCGCCGGCGTCCGCGTAGGCAGAGAGCATGGTGTTCCAAGAGATGGCGTCTCGCGCGGGCATCAAGTCGAAGAGGTGGCGGGCAGCGGCTGGGTGGCCGTTGTGGACGCACGCCGCGACCATGGCATTCCACGACACGAGATTCCTGGCGGGCATTGCCGCAAAGGCGTCCGCTGCATCGTCGAGGCGGCCGGCGCGAGCGCAGGCGGAGAGCAGCGCATTCCAAGAGGGCGCGTCCCACACGGGCATGTCGCGGAGGAGCATTTGTTTGGCGTCGCGCAGGTAGCCATTCCGTGCGTAGGCGGCGAGCATGAGCGCCCATGAGAATCGGTCCTTGGGCTCCGTGGCATCAAACAAATCGCGGGCGCCCTTGACGTTTCCGCACTTGCCATACTGCTCGATGAGCTTGTTCTGCGAGTACGTCGTCTTCCCGTCGCTCACACTTCCTGGCAACGAGCTACTACACACGCCGTCGCCGGCCACCTTGATCACGATGGTCATGGTATTTCATCTCTACACACAGACAGCGCAACACGTACTAACTGTACAAAAGCAGTGACGCCCTTCCCGAGGACATGGAGACGTTTCAAGACTTTTCTGCACAAAAGAAAACGATGCTGTGAGGTCACCATATCTTATCCTCTGTCTGTGCAGCAAAAAGAAATGGAATGCTCACCTGTGGAACAGTGCCTGGGCTCCCCGGCCTCTGAGTCGGTCAGAAACCTCTCCCAGAACACGTCGTTGAAGCCAACGCCCACGGCTCCGTTGTCAACGCTGGCACGCATCTCACCTTGGAGGGCTGCTGCTGCTGCGGCGGCTTTGGCGCTACTCTCGTTGTCCTCTGGCTCCGAGTTGAGGTTGAAGGGATGCTTTCCGGCGGCTGACTGGCTGCTTAACTCGGTCGTAACACCAGACCGTGGAGACAAGTGCCTTGCCTCTGGAGACGTCACGTCCGAGCAGGGCGTTGTCACCACGCTTGCGGCTCTGGTAGATGCCTGGTAATCCCCATCGCCGTCCCGGCTAGTAGTCACAACCTCTTCTTCCTCCCCGTCATACGCGTCGCCGCCTTCCTGCTGCCGCAGTAGCTCGCGGATAAGGAGCTCCAGCTCCAGCGACGACTCGTGCGGTTTCTTGGACGCCAAGTCCGGGCTGTTGAAGAACTGGCTCAGCTTGTCAACCGGGTCGTAGCGGACGAGCCGGCTGTTGCTGCTGGCGCCGGCTTCTTCGAGCGCCTTCCTCTTTCTGTGGCCGCCGATGCTCGGCGAGTGGCCGCAATTGCGCCGAAGGACTTGTGCCAAGAATCCCGGGCTCTGGATAGCCTTTGCCAGGAAAGAGATCATGTGTTTCTGGCGTTGCTCTGATCCCTGCACGCGCTGCCCCATGAGCAGCAGCTCCGTCTCCGTTTGCTGCTGCTGCTGCCTCAGCCTCACCAGCTCCAGCATCAACACGTTCTTATCCCGCTGGAGCCTGTCAACCTCCGCTTCCAATCCGAGCTTTGGCTCGCCGCCGCCACCGCTGCCGTGGTGTGCCTGCTGCGGCGGCTGCTGCTGCTGAGACGATGGCTTCTTTCTGGTGATGTTTCTGAGCAGGCTCCTGTCGCCTCGAACGAATTCCTCGTTTGCAAACTCCCATCGATCCGGATCCACCTTCCGAAATCCCTGGCCCCCAACAAAACCATGAGACCGGCTTGCTACCTAGGCCTAGAACAAACTCACATAGGTGTTGAGCTGCCGGACAAAGCTGGAGAAATTGTTGTGCTTGAAATACTGCGGTAACAGATCCCGCGCAAACTCGGGCGGATTCCACACCACGAAGCTCGTGCCCTTGCTGCTCCACGACACAACTGGGTCGGAGGAGGCGTCGTCAATCATGTCGTATGTCTTGGTGAGGAAGGGAGCCGGGGGCGCCGCTGCTGCTGCTGCTGCTGCCGCTGCCGCTGCCGCCGCTGCCGCTGCTCCATCGCGCTGCTGGTGAGAGCAAGAGGACGATGCAGTAGACGAGGTCGCGCACACATTGGCGTGCCCATCGTCCGAGGCTGTTGTGGCGGACGCCATTGTCAGCCCGGGAACAACGCCATCCAAACCCTAGCTAGAATGTGCGCTAGCTAGGGTACACGATGTGGGATGGAGGAGCAGCACGAGATTGTGGTGCTCCTCCGGCAATGCATCCGCAGCAAGGATGCGCGCCGCGGTGTGAGCCTCCACGCCGCCATCAGCGCAAGGGGTCTGGACAGGGTGAAGCTCATCCAGGACCTCCTCGTCCACATGTACGCCAAGTGCGGCAGGCTAGACCGCGCGGTGCAAGTGTTCCAGGCCATGGACCATCCCAACTCCACCTCCTTCAACATCCTGGCAGCGGCCTACGCCGCCAATGGCCGCCTTGACGACGCCAGGGCCACATTCGATCGCAACCCCGCCAAGGACACGGTGTCCTGGAACACGCTCATCTCTGCCTGCGCCCGTGCCGGCCGTGGCCACCAAGCCCTGGCGCTGTTCCTGGGGATGGAGCGCGACGAGGTGACACCCAACGTGGTGACTTATCTGGGAGTGATCCAGGCCTGCGCCAGCCTCCGAGACCTCGAAACGGGTAAGTCTATCCACGATAGGATTGTTGCTATCCATCCTAGACTAGATCCTAAGCTCGCAGTCGCACTAATCAACATGTTTGGGAGATGCAGGTGTGTCGCTCGGGCTCGAGCGGTGTTCGATCGGCTTGATTACCGAGACACGGTGGCGTGGAACGTTTTGATGTCGGCACATGCCCAGAATGGGCATCTGGAAGAAGCACGGGCAATCTTCTTTGGTGAGATGCCGCCAGAGAAACGGAGTGTTGTGTCATGGAACGTGATCATCTCAGCCTGTGCACAGGCCGGCCGTGCAGCCGACGCCCTGGAGCTTTTCCATGTCATGGGAGAGCAGGGGTTCGAGGCCGATGACGTTACGTTCCTGGCTGCTCTAGACGCGTCCTCTGTTCTGGGGGACTTAAAGAGAGGGGAGCAAATTCACTGCGCGATCATCAGAAGCAGGGGTAGAGTGCCGAGCCTCAAGGTCGGGAACGCACTCATCAGCATGTATGGCAAGTGTGGCAGCCCTGGTGACGCATGGAATCTCTTCTGCCGCCAAGAGACAAGAGATGTGGTGTCGTGGAACGCTGCATTGGCGGCACTGGCACAGAACGGGAGGGTTGCCGAGGCTCGGCAGCTGTTCGATCGAATGCCATGCAGAGATGTCGTCTCGTGGAATACCATGATCTCCGCACTGGCCCGTAGTGGGCTTCCTGGCCAGGCAATCCAGCTCTTGAGCTCCATGACAGCGGAAGTAAAGGCCAACGCAATCACCTTCGTCAGTGCCGTGGATGCCTGCGCTGGGCTTGGCGTGATTTCTGAGGGGCGAAAGCTCCACCGGCTTGTCAGAGAAGCCGGCTGCGAGCTTGAATTGAACGTCCAAAACTCGCTCATCAACATGTATGGTAAGTGCGGCAGCGTTGGCGAGGCACGAGGGGTGTACGACGGCATGCCGTATCGGGACGTGGTGTCCTGGAACGGCATGCTTGCGGCATATTGCGCTAACGGGCATCTGCGCCAAGCTAAGCTTCTGTTTGATGAGGTTCCTGACCGGGATGTCATCTCCTGGAACATAATGGTGGCGGGCATGGCCCGGGGTGGCAGGAGCCGGGATGCGTTGCGGCTGTTTGCTTCGATGGATGTGGAGGCAATAGAGACAGACGAGATAACCGTCATTGCTGTACTAGATGCGTGCGGCAGCCTTTCAGATTTGGCTGCTGGCCGAGAAATCCAGGGGCTGTGCACAAGCATCAGCAGCAGCACCAAAGTCTGGAACTCGCTCATCTACTTCTATGGACGATGCAAGCGGAGTGACGAAGCCAGGAGCACGTTTGACAGAATGAAGGAGTGGGATCTGGTTTCGTGGACTGCTATGGTGGGCGCATACTCTCTCGCCGGCGACTTGGAGGCTGCAAAAGCTTGCTTTGAGGCGATGCCCGAGCACGATGTTGCAGCGTGGAATGCAATGTTGACGGCTTTTATTCAGAATGGATGCGGGTCGGAGGCACTCGCAAGCTTTAAACTGATGGAGGCCAGAGGCATCGACGCTAACGAGATATCTTTGACGTCCATCCCCGAGGCGTGCCTGAGGCCGCCGGCCCATACGAAGGATGCGGAGTTTGTGTACGCGAGAAGTGTGAGCAGCGGTATCCGGTCCGTGCTGATCGACAATGCGCTGATTAGGATGCTCGGAAAGTGCTGCAATGCAGCCCGAGCAAGGCGAACATTCAATCAAATGAGTGAGCGAAGCGTTGTCAGCTGGAACTCCATGGTTGCTGCATATGCCCATAGTGGTCATCTTGCCGAAGCGGGCGAAGTTGCTACCCACATGATCGTCGAGGGTGAGATGCCCAACGAGGTGACCTCTGTGATACTGCTTGCAAGCTACAGCCACGCGGGCATGCTCTTCCGCTCGATCGCTCACTTCGTGAAGATGCAGCGCGAGTTTTGGATCCTGCCAGAGGCCGACCACTTCAGCTGCATGGTGGATGTTTTGGCCCGCTCTGGGAGGCTGCGTGACGCTGAGCAGCTGGTTGCCACCATGTCATACGAACCAGACATGCAGGTGTGGCTGGCCTTGGTTGGGGGATGTAACATGCATGGACATGTTCAAGGTGGGGCACTTGCTGCTCAGCAGGCCTGGGAGCTGGATCCGCAGAGCTCCGCTCCCTATATCCTCACCTCGAATCTCTACAAAGCTCCACCCGTGGTGAGAACGTAAAAAAGCACTCGTTTTGTACGGCCCAGGAAAGAGAATCTCCAAGCCCATATCGGGAAGGGATACTTAGTTTGGTACGAGAGGTTGTTGCTGGCTGGCGCGCGATTCGTTTGTTGGGATTGTGGTCTGGATGTATGCATCAATCAATCAATCAATCGGTCCAGCTGCCATGAAACCAAAGGGTCACATTCAATGCTGGCTGGAACAACCACAAGAAACGAGCGATTTCCAAGTCGCGATCATCATACTCTCATTAACTTACCAGGAGAGGGTATAGTGCCTAGTACAAGCTACGCCGGTGGTCTGTCTCTCAGGGTTGCTTGGGTGGGAAGCTAGCGGCCGCAGCCATGTAGCTGCTAACTTCTCTCGACACCATGTCCCGCAGCATCAATCCCATGCGATCATCACCTTCCACGCTCATCGGCGGGGAGGCGTGGCGAAGGATGGGTGCCAGGGAGAGAGACACCGCCGCTCTGATGGCAGCAGCCATGAGGTCGACTACCTCTTCCATTCTCAAGTAGCCACCTCTAGGCAGTGATGCCAGATCCTTCTCCTGGATTGCATGAGCCAGCGAGAGGAAAGATGCCGGGGTTTTCTGTCTTCCTTCTTCCATGGCACGCTTGGCGATGGCCGCTGTGGTCGTATCTTCAATGGAGCCGGGCAAACAGAGGCTGAGAGATGTCGGCGGATCTGTTCTCACAGTCGCCATCGTCGCTGCTGCTGATTCCTGGCCGAGAGGCGGGCTCGGAAGCTTTGATGCCGGCTTGAACAGTGGGGGAGGACTTCCAATGCGAGCATCGCTCTTCTTCGTCACTGCCTCTTGCAGATCCTGCTCCGGCTCGTCGCTGTGATTCATCATGTCACAGCAGCTGCGCTTGGTGCTGGCACGGGAGTCGTCGTGTCTCTCCCCAGTAGCAGCAGCAGCAGTAGCAACCGTCATGGTGGCCGCCCTCCGGCGCAGCGTGGAGTTCCAGTGATTCTTGATGGCATTGTCCGTGCGGCCCGGAAGCAAGCGCGCGATGGTTGCCCACTTGTTCCCGTGCAACAAGTGCGCACGGACGATGGCTGCGTCCTCGGCAGCAGTGAAGGGGCGATGCTCCACTTGCGGGCTGAGCTGATTGCACCACCTCAGCCGGCACGACTTGCCCGATCGCCCCGCAATGCCCTTGCTTATAACAGACCAGTTGCGAGCGCCATGCTGCTCCACCAGCTGCTGGAGCGCGGCATCCTCCTCCGGGCTCCATGGACCTTTGATCCTCTCCTCGAGATCCTTGTCGCAGCTGCTGGTGTTGCTACTGCCGCTGCTCGTGCTGGCGGCACTGGGCTTGAGCACCTCCATAGCTCCTCACTCTTCTCTGTCTCTCAAAAACTAAAGGAAGACGAAGGAACAAATTAAAAAACGAAAAGAGGAAGAATCAAAAAGGAGAAAACGAGGAGCCCTAGAAACAGGGAAGCTTCATAGCAATGTAGGTGAGGCCCATTTTATATGGTCACAAAACAACCAAGGGCTGTTAACCAGACAACAACGTATCGGCCGTACTCGCAAACAGCTGGAGGTGGCCAGGCTGGCTGGCCCGTGACACACCATAATTGACGGACGGTCCAGATCTCTCCGCCACCGTCAAAGTATTTCCACCTCGCCGTAGAGGAGGACGGTTATACGGCCCCGCGCCGTATGGTAGTTTGGCCGTTGGCGGTCGTTCTGTGGGACCGCTGGACCACATGACAGACCCACGGTCACTAGCATGCCCATGGATGCGCATCGCAAGATACGCCATACTAATAAGCTGGCACGCATTGGAGTTTCCCAGCATGGCTGTGGCTTTGGCTGTGTCTTTATGAGCCAGGAGTTTTTCCTTTCAAGTAAAAGTATCGAAGTATCTAAAGGTAATCTCTTTTTGTTGTTGGCGGTTGGGTTGCTGTTGGTTAGTGTGATCCTGACTGTGATCGTGGAAATGGAGGAATCCAAACGTCGAAGCAGGGCAAAAGAACGAATCAGACAAGCCGCATCGTCCAAGTATAAGAATATGGCATTTCCTGTGCAAAGCAAAGAGCTTGGGAGGAGCAAGCAATGCCATGATCCATCCGCCATCGATAGTGTCACTCGCACTCACGCTGGGCCATAGTCGGACTTGACGTAGATGGGCACTTGCTCCCTTTTGGCGCGCTCGGCCTTGTCCGCCTTGATCGCCCACGGTGCTCTCATGTCGATGGTCTCGCCGCCGGGGAGCTCCACGATGCCGTCCTGGGCGGTGGCCTTGAGCAGCAGCTTGCGCAGCTTGAGGATGTGGTCGAAGAGCTCGCTGGGCTCCTTGTGCTTGAGGCAAAACGCGCGCTCGTTGTAACCCAGCGGCTCCAGCAGGATGAGACGGGGCGACTCCAGCTCCTTGGTGTAACTCGGGTCCTCCACCGTCTCCAGCGTCGGCATCAAGGCCGTCTCGGCAAAGTCGGAGGTGCACACCATCGGGTGCGTCTCCACCGACATGCTTATCAGGTGGGGGAACTCTATGTACATGCCCGTGTGAACCAGCGGATCCACGATCCGGCGCACACGGTACGTGTTGTCCAGCTCCCTGCAAAACCTCTCGTCATTCATTCCCTTCCCAAGAAAGAGAGCAAAGGCGCACCTTGCCTTGATCCACTCCTTGATCTTTCGCACGCCATAGCTACATTTATCCTCGCTTACCTTGATGTTCATGCGGTCCTCGAAGATGTCATCCTCTCCCTCGGACGATGAGGAGCTCCACCGCCGCAGCAGCCTCGCACACCCATTCCTCGTCGCCGCTGGACATCGCCTCACAAAGAGCATCTGGCCTTAGACCCTAGCAAAACCCTTGTTACACAGTTAATTCTCATTTTCAACTTGTTCTTCCACGTATGGGCACGTCCCGTCGTCTACGGTGGCGAGCGGGTCGTAGAATGGGTTCTCTTTGTCTGTACAGCCCGGGTTGAGATCCAAGTCACACTTCCACCCCTGCAAAAATGCACTCACACAAGCTGAGCCACAGCACGCTCGTTTTGCCTTGACTTGCCTCTGGATTGTATGGCGGTAGAGGGCATCTGTCCATCACCAGCACTGCCTCTGGGTAGATGGCATTGTCACAGGCTCCATCCTTGGACAGTTCGGCTGCCAGTCCCTGGTAGGAAGAGGAGGAAGACAATCACTGCTTTGAACTTCACGAGCAGTGTAATTTCAAGTACCTCGCTGAAGAAACTTGAAGGCTTGTTCCGAAACTTGGGTGGCACCGCCACGTTCAACTTGTAAGGCCCATCCCAGTCCTTGCCATTTGTAAACGAAAACTCCAAGCTCAGTGCTGCCAGCCAGCCAGCCAAGCAAAGCCGGAATGTGAATAGTTGTTTAATGCCGACAAACGCGTCAGGCACGTACTATGCTTTGGGAGATTGATCTTGATGCTGTACAAAGGAGCACAAGAGTTGCCGCGATCCTTCTTTGTCATGATTCGTGGCTCGCCTCCACACATAATTGGCTGGTTGAATCCTCCTGCAAACAAACGCCAGGATTTGAGGAAAAATGATAGACCGCAGACGCTTACCGTTGAAGGCAACCCCGTAGACGTCGTTGGGCTTCAAGGAAGACGCGTCCGGATTGAAGAAAATGATGAGCTGCCCTCCCTGCTTGATAATATATTTATCACACTCACTGTGCCACAGACTTTGAAAATGACAAGCTCACTTACAGCAGCAGGAGGCTGGCCATCACTTGCTTGCCACCAGACTGGAAACTTGCCAAGCTCGAATGCGGACCATGACGGGCGAGTATATCTGCTCAAACACACCGCAAATTGGAGCGGCAACGAAGCAAAATCATGGCAAACCATCAGTACCTGTCGATAGTCTTCTCCGAGGCAACAGCAGCAATTCGCAGCTTCCGCCGCGGTACCAGCTTTGTCTGCCTGATCGCTTCACATTCCGCAAGTGAAGAGCTATCTGCAAACACAAAACAAACAGTGTGAGAAGCAGAAGAAATCGCACGACAACTTACAGAGTGACGATCTCCTGATGCCCAGAACTGGGTGGTTGCTAAGAGCTGCGGTGGCCATGGAAGACAGCCACACCCTCAAGCTAGGAGCCACAGATATTTTTCTTGCTAAACAGCGCTTTGTTTACAGCAACGGCAGACAATAAGTGATTTGAAGTAATGTTCTCGGAGGTGTACCAGGTAGCAAAGATGCCAGCATTGGAAGCAAGGAGTTTCTGTCTTGCTTGGACCAATCCGGTATGGATTGCTGTATCTCTAGCAACGCTTTGGTCACCAGAGCTGGCTGGGGAACTCCCTCCCAGCTAACGTAACAAGCAAACATGAGCCTCTGTATGTCCTCGCTGCTCGCTGACTCCCTGGGCCAGGTGTGTGAACTCAAGTAAGAAACCAACTCAGGTGGCGGTCCAAGTTGCTCACGGTCCTCGAATCGCCTACATTTCCAATGGGTTAAGATATCGTCCATCCGCTTCGCCAGTGACACGAGAAACGTTCGCTGTATGAGTGATGGCCCTTGTAACGCAGGGTCATGACCTGCTGCCCCGCAGTATGCTAAAGACACCTGGAAGAGCAAAGGACGAGATTTAGATCGCGAGACTAAGACAGCTCCAACCTTCAGATTTTGCACAGCAAGACAGGGCGTAGAACAAGCTTTCGGAACAGTTCCCCCGCCCTGTGACTCGGTTAATTAGAGCTTCCACGGACGTGTACAGCCCAATGTATGTCTGGAAACAGCAACGTTGAATTGTACAAAAGAAGGAAATGAATATGCTTGCCTGCAACAACGCGGGCTTATCCATGCTCACGCACTCGAACAAAGCCAGTAGGCAGAAGTCTTGAAATTCACCGCGGAAACTGAGAGAGAAGGTGGTAAGGACAAGAAAAAAAATAGAGTGAAAACAGTTTAACCTGCTACTGCAGAAAAGATGCGCAAAGGCTAGTAAACTTGGATCAGAAGAGAAAGCACCCACAAGCTCATCAACCTTCGACTGGTCCCGGATGGTAAAATCCGCATTCTCGTCTACCTGCGGTATGAAACGCACCAGTTACTTAGCTCATAAGAGCAAAATGAAAAATTACCAAGACCCGCTGTAAAGCTCGCGAAAGAAGAGAACGAGAGCCAATGGGATCATCTGCATACGAGCGCGCCCCGACTTTTCGTTTGACATACAAAACGCCTCCGTTGAAAGGATCCCCCGTTTCTCCATGTTCCCACCACGGCTTAGTTTCTGGCAGGAGTTAATGTAGATTGAAAAAAACAAAATCGAGATAAAAGCTAACCTGAAAGCAAAAATTGCATATCTTGAGACCAATACCGCGGTCCGCAAACGCGAACTCGCTTCAACTGTTATTCAATGAAGACGCGTTAGGAGCGAATAAGCAACGAAGATGTCAACTCACAGCAGAGCGTTCGGGAAGTATGCAAGGAGAGACTCTGCTGAATGTGGTCTCGCAGTGCAAGCTCGTCTCATGTAGCGTCATCTCAAGGGGTGCATATACTAATAAGCCGGTATCCACATCCATTGTCTGCACACATCGCGCTTCCGTCGCAAGAACGTACAGGTGACGAAACGCCTTGCAAACAAGAGTTCAGTCTCAACATCATTAATAACTCGAAAAACGTACTTGAAGATGACAGCGATGATCATTAGGCGAGGTTGGAAATCTGGGATACAAGGATATGAGTAGTGCAGCGACAGCGCCATTGCTGGTTGAGAATGTAAGGGAGCCTCCTCCAAGAAACAAAAATCCTATTGCCAAACTTACCTGCGATGAAAGAGCAAAGGAATTTTTTTTGGCGGGATATTACTGTAAAACTTACTGCCATATGGTTCCCATAGACAATATCTGTGTCGTTTCTTTGTCGAAGGTAGCGCAAAAGCCTGAGGGTCTCCAGATGTCCGGTACCAGCCATAACCTAGATGCAAACCGTGGATAGTGGACACCGAAAGAACAGCTAGCACTTACCACACTCAAAGACAGAACAGCCACATCGAGACATGTTTCCAGCGTCCCTCTGTCTACACGTCGGTCGTTTGGGGAGGTCCCAGAAGCAGCTTGAGATTTCTGCCAGCAGCATGCACGTGAAATCAGATAGCCATGAATAGTCAGAGTCACCTCTTTCATGAAATACAAAGCGTAGTGCTGTAGCAGCGTTTGTGCTTCAGCATTAGCCGTACCAGCATAGCGGAGACCTGGATTGCGATTCAGCTAGATGTCAAGTCAAGAGAAAAATGGCCAGGTTACCAATAGACAGGCACGCCCCAGCAAGAATATTTACGTGCGCTTGGGTAAGTGCTTCCATGTCTAAATCAGGAGTGACGTCTGCACCGGCGTCGCTACCCTTGGCCTGGACGACAGCCTGGCGTATAATATCGGGCACTTGAGACTGAATCCACTCCTCTGTGGCTTGCACACTATGTAAACCAGTTAAAACAAAACTTTCAGTATGAAGGGTCACCAACCTGTCCCATAAAATTAAGCTACGAGCAATCAGCCGAAGAAGGATAAAATCTGGTCTGACATACTCGAGTGCAAAATGTGTATCGGGTATGGCAAGTCTTGCAGCTACAACGTGATCGTTTGTCTGTACAAAAAGAGTTGGACAAAAGAAAAAAAACGGTCAATCTTTAACTACCTTCATGAACATGAGAGCAAGAGCAAGCGTTGCCCCGGGTGCAGTCACGTCCAAATTTACAATGGACCCTTCCATGACCTGTGAAAGTCATCAGTGTCTTGAGTTTGACGTAGAAAGTTATAGAAACATTAACCTGGCCACCAGTCTGATTCTGGTCATCAAAGCTCTTGGAAACGGATGAGAAGCCGCTAGCCCCATCAAACCTTCGACGGTATTCCTGCATTTCAGCCGAAGTGTTTCAGTGTCACACATTAGATAAACCCAAAGACTTACATCGGACGGTTCACTACCACCACACATATAATGGCGCAATCGATCTTCAATTTGCAAGTCGGCAAGACCCCAAGCATCCTTTCCTCTGCCTGCAGGAAAGTTTTACCATGTTTCCAAACACAGCATAGCCATTTACCTAAAGTAACTAGACCAAGGGCCACACCAGCAGCAAGTGCATAGCCCTCACGGTCTAAAGAACTGTCACTACCAGGTTTACGGCCAATCTCCGCCTGAATTTATCACTGTTTAGCTCAAGACAAAACACGAAAACGCATACCAGTAAAATTTCTGTCGTGAGGCGATGGGCTGATCCTTGATAAAGCAGGCCTACTGCCATAAGTGCCGCCGACTGAAGTATATTAGAGTGTCAGCAGCCACTTGACAAGATTCACCAGCATACTTACCTGTAGCAAAGAAGATAATTCCAGCTCTGGAAACGATGGTGGGTGGCGCGCAGGAATGTGAAGATAAAGCATCTGGAAAATACGCAATCTCATATAGCCAGAGGGTACACCAGTATTTATTTACCTTTGACATGGCTGGATCCATGGTCCCTCTATGTGCAGCTGCCATTCCAAGAAGAATACCAACAGTTGTGGGGTCATGCTCCTAAAACAACACTTGTTGGACTCTAGAGATGTTAATACATCCATCAAACCTGGGCCAAATATCTGAACACATCAGTAGCAGCTAAGACTGCCAAGTGCTTATGAAGCCCCAGGGACATGAGAAATCCAGCATGCTCGTAGCTAGGCTCATCCGGTTTGTTGTATACGATCCATGTACGAGTAATTTTAGCCTGTGTTGCACATCAATCACAAGACAATAGTTTTTCTCTCTCTTTTACCTGACCGGGTGCCAGCCGTAGCCCAGCAGCAACACCATTATGAAACTCTGGCCACGAAGTGAACTCGGAGACGTTCCCCGCATTTACGTCCAGATTGACCTGCTCAAAAGCATTAGTCGCTGTACGTTGAGGCGGTGGTTACATACAGTTGCGTCGTGCTGTGAAGGAAGACGTCCAGCTAAAACCAGTTTAGGAATTGGAAGGGCCTGCAGCAAGAGGGTTGAAGCTCTCGAACAAGAAGTAAAACAAACCTCGGTCAGCAAAGGACGCAAGGTGGAGAGTGTAAAAGCACCACGTCCGAATGGAAGGGCAGTTGTACGTTGAGCCAGCTGCCACAGCTGTGCCTGCACACCAGCTTCTTCAATAAAGCCAGGAGAAATTTTCTTGTACCAACCTGCTGTTGAGCAACAAGATCCGGATCACTCACGTCAGGTGCATTGGCGGTCCTCACAGCAACAGGCTTTGATGAACAAAGAACCCGTCGAACCTGGAACGTCTCTCATTGCATCATGAAATTGAAAAAAAAAAGCCCAATATACCTCATTCAATCGTAAGTCAGAACCAAATCTCAATGTAGCCGATGGGGTGAAAATATGTTCCATCCCGTCACTAGCTTGTCCCTCCATTGGAGGTGTATCTGATGGAATTGGCTCGCGTTCAGTAAAGGGAAGAGTTGGACGAAGATGCAACATGTATTGTGCTGCCATAGTCACGTCTTTCGCACCCGACTTACGACTTGCAGACATGTAGGCTAAATCCTCACGGCCCAGAAGTATATAGGCATCAGGCGGCCAATCTGCTGGTGGAGATTCCCGACAACTGTTAAGAGCCTGAAAAGAGAAAAGCGAAAAAACTTTCAGAGAAAGAAAAATTATAGTTTTTTACGTACATGGCGTAGTGGGAGCGAAAGACCACAAGGCAGCCGATCCAGATGAGATAATCCAAAGCGTTCTCCAACCATGGCCAACACCGTCATCTGCTCTGCATTTGTTGCAGTTCCTGGTGCAAACTTTATGCAGATGCCAGATAAAAGCTTGTCACGGTTCCCAGATCCTAAAAGAACTTCGAAGAATCCCAATACTTTCCGTGACCAGTCAAGAGAACCGTCTTCTTTAGTAAGGAGTGCCGGCAAGCGACTGGTAGCATGTTTCTTTCGCAGAAGGTTCTCAATCCAGGTAAAATGATTAATGATGAGACCGCTTGATCTGGAAGATACGTTTGACATCACCCGTGATGTTACTACCGTTGGAAAGTCTCGAACATAATGATCAGCATAGTCGTACTCTTCAACTGCCACCGCGATACTGTTGAGAAGAACTCCCAGTTTCCACATTTCCCTGTTAAGAGAAGTTAAGAATCATTTGAGAGAAATAAGACCGCATACCCCCATCGCAAGACATCCAGCTTAAAATCTTCATAAACCAAGTGAAGCGTCTCTAAAACCTCTAGCAGCATCGAGGAGTAGCCTGATCGTTCATTCTTGCTGTTGTGAGTTGGACATAGCTCGTACCTTCGACTTGGATATGGATGTGATCCATTTCTGTGCCTGTTGCTTTGCAATAAAAACTCCCAACTGGAAAGAGAGCGATGCTTATACGAATCCGATCTCCTCTCACCCGTCCACTGCATCATGATCCCGGAAAAGGCAGACCAGTCTTTGTCAAAAGAGCTATCCGTTTTGTTTAGTTGGCCGGGCTTGAATTCCATCAAGGATCCCAAAACGAACCGGTAAAACGAAGGCCTTAATCCTTCTGAAAGCGCAAGCAAACAAGACCTCGTGATTCCTGATGATGGGATTAACTCCACAATGCATCGATAAATCTACAAAAGCACCAAAGTCACTAATTTGAGGGACAGAAAGAAGACACGGTTACAAACCTTGCCAGAAGAAGTCAGAACGTTGGCACGGGTGTTGACAGAATCAAGAAGCTTCTCGACGCGATGTTGTCCTGTTTGCTGGAGGACTGAGGCGGGTAGGACGTATGTACACAATGGATACCGCCCGGTCTAGAATAGAAAGATAAATGAATTAAAACGATTGGCGACACCATATTACTTGTTCTTACATACAGAAAGACGTTCCCGTCTGGTGCCAGAACCAGCATATCTAAACGCGGCAGACCCCTTCTCAATCTGTCATATATTCCACGTCTTAACCGGCTTAGTGCGAGAAGCAAATTATCACTTACGTTGGTTGACTGGCAACGATTGGAACGGCAGAGACTGCCGAAATACTCCATGCGACATCCGCTGCGGGTTCTGGTGCCCGAGAAAGTTTTATTGCAAAGAGTCTTTTGGCATCCTTGATAACAAAGCAAACCAAAGGCTCCCTATCATCATCTGTGGCGATGAACACCTGCATAAGTCGTAAGCCTCACAAACACACTGCATCACACACGCACCTGCGCTGCTTGAGGATTGCTGCCTTGCTCCCGCCAACATTGCAGCAGGTACATAGAGTTGGATCGCTCTAGTGTCCGACCTTGTTCAAGACGAGAATTGGTGGATTTGACTTCCCACACAGTGTGCTGTTTGCGACCTGAGAGTTGCCACTCAGTTACCCCAAGAACGAATAAAGAGAGGCAAACCTGAGTGATACGACACAGCATATGGTAAACGTCCACTAGTCCAGATTATTTGCTCATCTGAGTCCACCAGCGACTGAATTCTCCCCGAAACTTCAACACATAATGCCTATTGTTTGAGAATCACAAAACAATTACGTTCACGTCGGTTGATGGAGGAGCAAACGACGACATACCTCAGGCTCTTCCAAGTTGTGTTGCAAGGTGAAGTAGACAGAACCACTGGTTTCGGCAGCCGGGGAAACAGAGTATGGCACAGCTTCAGCCGCACGCTGCAAAAGTAGACCGGAAGGCATTGGCCACATAGAAGACATTGCAGAGGAAAACGGGACCGAGTTGAATTCACCTGGAAAAGGTCCCTCTCTTGAGTCAAGGACCTAGCTAAACAAAATGATGGACGAACCGGAAGGGGTGTATGTCGACAGTGAGTTCGAGTGCAAGATGCAAAGAAGGGGTTCCGGTGTGGACTCCATGCTACACCAGCATGCCTGGAAGAAGAAGAAAAAACGATCGATTGTGGTGTGTATGTGGTGTTGTGTACCTTTAAGACGGTCGAAGATGCAGAAAAACGTTTTCGAACATGATGCCCAGCACTCCATACAACACTGGAGGCCCAGATGGATCATATTAGCAGCAGGAAACAAAATGTGGTGGAGGATTGCTTACACATTGTCGCGGATGAAGATTTCCTCCTCGTAATGATTGCCGCAGCCAGAGACGACCGCCTGTTCCACCCCATCCCCGCGCGCTCTGGCGACGCCAGGATCGAACAAGAAGTAGCTGTCATTCGATCCAGCTGCTGCGCCGACTGCCGCCTCCGCTCGCCGGCCAAAGGGCTCAAACTCGCCCAGGACACAAAATGCCCTCCCCATTTTCCTAGGGCTTTGGAGGGAAGATAAACCCTAAAGACCAAAGCCGCTACCTATAACTATAATACCTGGATTTCAATCATACAAAAATCGCGGGAATGCAATGCAGCTGGAAGGAAGAGAGATATTTCGGTGGCATCAAAAGCATTGGCATTTGGCACGGCTGGACAAAACGAACGAAACACGTCACGCTCGAAAGAAATTTTTTTACAGCCTGGGGACACCCAGGCAACAAAATTTACATTCGAGAGAGTACTTTTACCTCAGCAGTGCCAGCCAGGAGAAAGAGAGAAGGCTGCCTTTTTTACCGTTCCCAATCATACCCGCTGGCACCTGGCAACCATTTCAAATCGCTTTTCAAGCCCCACCTTTAAATAATCCTCCCTGGAGCCACCTGGCATGCTCGTGTGCGCGGGAGAGCCGACGTGGCGGCCTCCTGTCGCTGAGCTGGCGGCGAGCCGCCTCAAATTCTAGGGCTAGGGCAGAGCGGGCAGAGAGGGGAGTATAAAATACAAGGCCACAATGCGTCTTGTGCAGTGCAGCTGGCATTCTTCCCTCTCTTCTTCTTCTTCTTCTTCTTCTTCTCCCTCTTTCCATTTCTCTTCTTCTCCCCTCTAGAGACCTCAGCGATGCCGATGCCGTCTTCTTCTTCTTCTCTCCCGATGATCCTCGCCTTGCTCTCACTGCTCGCCCCATCCTACATTCTCGTGGATGGCCGCGGGCTTGCTCTTGCGACCACTCCCCGCGCGTTCTCGCCCTTCCGGCCGTGGCCCAAGGACTCCGCCAAGTACTCCGCCACCGCCGCGGCGCTGGAGAGCTCCAAGGCGTTCGAGGGATCATCCGACTACGTGCACATGAAATACCATATGGGTCCTGTCCTCTCGCCCAAGATGCACGTCTACATTGTGTGGTATGGCGCTTGGGACGCGAGCGACAAGGCCATCATCAAGGACTTCTTGCTCTCCATCTCCACCCACAAGCTCGAGGCCCCCAGCGTGGCCAAGTGGTGGCGGACCGTCCGCCTCTACACGGACCAGACCGGGCACAACATCACCGACTCGGTGATCATCGGTGCGGAGCACGACGCCCACTACTCGCACGGCCACTCGCTGACCCGGATGAGCGTCCAGCAGGTGCTCAAGAGCGCGCTGGCCGAGAACAATGGCTCCCTTCCCGTTAACTCCCACGGCGGCCTCTACCTCCTCCTCTCCTCCGAGGACGTGCTGATGCAGGAGTTTTGCCGGGCCGTGTGTGGATTCCACTACTTCACCTTCCCCTCCATCGTCGGCTACACGCTCCCCTACGCGTGGGTGGGCAACTCGGGCAAGCAGTGCCCCGAGGTGTGCGCCTATCCCTTCGCCATCCCGTCGTACATGCCGCACACGCAGCCCATGAAACCGCCCAATGCGAACCGGGGCGTCGACGGCATGATCAGCGTCATCGGCCACGAGCTCGCCGAGATGTCGTCCAACCCGCTCATCAACGCCTGGTACGCGGGCACCGATCCCACCGCGCCCACCGAGATCGCGGACCTGTGCGAGGGGATGTATGGCACCGGCGCCGGCGGCGGCTACACGGGATCTGTTCTTACGGATGACAAGGGCGCCAGCTACAATCTCAATGGCATCCATGGCCGAAAGTATTTGGTCCAGTGGGTGTGGAGTCCCGTCCTCAGCGCTTGCTTCGGCCCCAATGCGCAGGACTAGAGCGCGAGCGAGCTCTCGGGATCGCCATCGACATCGTCATCATCATCGAATCACAGCACTCGAAGCATCGCTTCCTTCTTTTTTTCTTTGTTTTTCCTCTTGTTGCTGTCTGTACATACATAGAGCTCTAGCCTAGGGAGAGGAGAGGAGTTTTTTTGAAAGCATATGTGATGTTGAGGCAAGAGGCAAGGTCCAGTTTTTGATACTAAAAAAGAAACCCCCACATTGAGATTGTCAATTGATCAAAGTCATGTCCACTTACTTGCAGACCATTGCACTGACGAGGGAAAGAAAATGGACGTCAAACACGCAGGGCTGAGGCACACGGACGCTGCGAGCGAGCGAGAGCAACGAGGCAAGCTTCACGTTGCTAAACGAAATGGTCAGAAGCGAGCAGGGAAAAGAAAAGGGATTGTGGTTGCCTGCCATGCATGTGAGTAAAATATGTCCCTGTGTGTCTTACCTGGCATGCACCGAGCGAGCAGACCCGCTTATCGCTGGCCTTTGCTTGCCTTTGCTTAACAGTAAGTAGCCAGATGCCCAAGAGCGGCATTTGCGCAGTCTGGCATTTAGAAACCCTCCTAGGGTAATTGGAAACTATTGTCATGCTCAGAAGGTGGCTGCATTGCGAAACAGCTCAGCGGAGGGTTGGGTCCGCCTCTCTGTCCCTGTCTGACCACAAGACGACCAAGCTCAAAGAGGACTCCCCGGCGCCCGCGGCCAAGAAGAAGAGCAAGAAGAAGAAGAAGGCCAAGAAAGCTGCGGAGCCTACTCCCGAGCTCGACGAGGCAAAGGTCCCCCCAAGTGCTAAAGCCGACCACCCTGCCTCGTACGTGGATTTGCTACGGAAATGCAGCAGCCGCGCTCACTTGCCCGATCTCCGGCAGCTCCACTCGCAGCTCGTCGGAAACGGGTATGCACGGCGCCCCGGCATTGCCACCAAGCTCATCCAGATGTATGGCCGATGCGGCAGCCTCAGCGACGCGCGGCTCGTCTTCGACAGCATTGCCTCCAAGGATCGCAGCATCGACCTCTGCAACGCCATGATCACGACTTGCTCGCAGAACGGGGACGCGGCGGGTGCGCACACCGTGTTTCAGAGCATGCCCAAGAGCAGGAAGATGCGCACAGACGACCTCACCGCCTCCAACAGCATGATCGCTGCCTACGGCAAGGCCAAATCTGTGGCCGACGCCAAGCGCCTGTTTGATCGCATGGAGCGGAGGGATGAAGTCACCTGGACTGCCGTGGTTGCAGTGTATGCCCAAAATGGGCATAGCAGGGACGCCAAGCTGCTGTTCGATGCGATGCCGCGGCGGGGCATCATCGTGGCTACGGCGATGCTGGGCGTGTGCGCTCGGGGCGGCCAGGCACACCAGGTGTGGGACCTGTTCACGGAGATGGAGGGACGCGACGTCTTCTCGTGGGGGGTGCTCATCTCGGTGCTGTCGCGCCACGGCCGTATGCAAGACGCGCGCTTCGTCTTCGACAAGATGCCGCTCCGCAGCACAGTGTCATGGACCACCACCATCACCGCGTATGCCAAGTGCGGGGACCTGGACGAGGCCCGCAGGCTGTTTGACGCAATGCCGCAGCCGGACGTTATCACCTGGACGTCGCTCATGACGGCGTACGCGCAGGGTGGCCTGAGCAGGGAGGCGGTGGAGCTGTTCAAGCTCATGGACCTCGAGGGCGTGGAGGCGGACAAGTACAGCTTCTCCATCGTGCTGGACGCGTGCGCGAGGCTGTCGGATGTGGCCGAGGGCCGCAGGGTGCACCGGACCATCGCCGAGCTCGGCCCCATGGACGTGGTGGTGACCAACTCGCTGCTCAACATGTATGGCAAGTGCGGCAACATGGCGGAGGCGGTGGCGGCGTTCGAGGGCGTGGCGGCGATGCAGCGGGTGGTGGCCACCTGGAACGCGCTGATCGCCGCCTACACCGAGAACGGGTGGCACGAGTCGGCGTTCGGGGCGTTCCGGGCGCTCAATCTCGACGGCGTCGTGCAACCCAACGCCATCACCTTCATTGGCATCTTCACGGCGTGCAGCCACACGGGCAAGCTCGAGGACGCCCGCGACTACTTCCTGTGCATGGCTCCCGACTTCGGGGTGACGCCGGTGGCGGACCACTACGTGTGCATGTCGGACCTGCTGGGCCGCGTCGGGAAGCTTGTGGAGAGCGAGGAGCTCATCGGCAGCATGCCATTCCACCCGGATCCGGTGGCGTGGCTGGGCTTGATGGGCTCGTGCCGGACACACCTCAATGCCGACGTTGCGGAGCGAGCGGCGGAGCATGTCTACGTCTCGGACCCCGGCTGTCCCTCGCCGTACATTCTCCTGTCCAACATCTATGCAGCGCTGGGGAGGACCAAGGATTTGCTGCGCATCCGGAGGCTCATGAAGATGAGGGGCGTCAAGAACAACCAAGCGCTGGCCTACGTGCAAGTCAAGGACCGCCTTGTGCCCTTCGCAGTTGCCCGGTGGACCAAGAAATTCTACAAGGACCACTGCAGCAGGAGTGAGTGACTAAGTACCCATCATCACCTTTTGATCCAAGTCCACTACACTAGTTTATCAAGTGATCAGTGCGCGACAAGCAACATATTCTACAAGTGAGGCGTCGCGGTCGTGGCCAGATGATAGGAGCATTTGTAAAACTGTTATGATTGGATGGCCACAGCAGCGCGCAGCACGACGTCTATATATGCACGTAAAGAATTTGGCCATGGATGGCGATGTGAATGCTACGAGTGAGTAGTGTTCGTGCGGTGCAGTGCGCCAGGTACAGCGCTATGGCATGGATCGGATGCCCCCGCCTAGAGCCCCTCTGACCCAACTTAAACTTGCTACAATCGGCTACCATCCACGTGCTGCTCCGCTTGGCCGATAGTGATATCATAAACCCATTTGGATCCATCCATGGAGCAAGAGATCTTTGCGTTCGTCCGTCCGGCCGAAAAGAAGGGGATTCTACCTGCTGGATGCAACTCGGGGAAGAGGAGCTACAGTGCCGAGTTACTGCTAGTAGAGAGAAACTTGGTCCAACACTTGGTGCTGCTAGAGGCGACATTTATTGCGCACGCCCTCCAATACATGTTGGTGGTGCGTGCGTGGTTCCATGAGGAAGGAGCAGCAGCGCAGCAAGCAGCAGAGCACATAAAATCTGCGTTTGGGAGAGACAAGCGCACGAGCAAGGGGACACACCGATACTTTGTAAGAATTTGATCCACATGGACAGGGTAGTCTGGGTGGGATTGATAGCTGCAGCATGCTGGATTGCGGTGCTCAAGCTCGTGGAGCTCGTGGTCAAATCGTGGTGGAGGCGGAGGAGGATCTGCCAGGTGATGGAAGGCCAAGGGATTCGAGGGCCTCCGTGCAACCTGCTGGATGGGAATTACTCGGAGATAAAGAGGATGCAAGCCGAGGCTGCCGCGGTGGACATGCCGGCTCTCACTCACGACATCGTCGCCAGAGTCTTTCCCTTCCAGCACAAATGCACGCAGCTCTATGGTAGAGAAAAGAAGATCCGAGAGCTTTTTGTTGTCCTCACAAAGCTAGCTTTGTCGTTTGCCTTTGTTTGCAGGCAAGCACTTCCTGCATTGGTGGGGGCAAGATCCGATCATCCACATCACGGAGCCGGAGCTGATTGTGGAGGTTTTGTCGCTCAAGTTTGGACACTGGCAGAAGTCCTCGCAGCTGCGGCGGGCTATGGAGTTTCTGTTTGGAAAGGGCCTCCTGGTGGCAGTGGGAGAGGATTGGGTCCGCCAGAGGCACGCCGTGAATTCGGCCCTCAGCGCGGAGAAGATCAAGGTGGGTTTCTTGGTACTGCAATCTCATGGCTCTCCTTGAATCCATCATGGTTGCATTGCGCAGTGCTTTGTGGAGGTGGTGATCTGCTGCGTCAAGCCCATGGTGCGCAAGTGGGAGCAACGAGTGGAGGAAGGCGGCGAGGCGGAGGTGGAGGTGAAGCAGGACATGCTCGACATGGCCACGGAGATCATACTGCGCAGCTCCTTCGGTGACGAGTGCTACGACGAGGCCAGGAGATATCCCGAGCTGGTCTACCGCCTGCTGGGACTCACATCCAAGTCGTCTCCTTTCAACAGTCTCATCCCGAGGTACTCTGTCGGGGTTGACAGTGGCAAACACGCTGGCTGGACTTGACTTCTTGAATGGTGGCGCAGCTTTGTCCCAACCAAGAAGAATCAGCTGCTCAAAGAGATCGAGCAGTGCTTCTACCGGGTGGTGGCAACGCACACGCAGCAGCGCAACACCATCTTGAGCTCCCTGCTCGGCTGCGCAGCCAGAAGCAGCCTCAGCGTCCAGCACGTCATCGACGAGTGCAAGAACATCGTGTTTGCGGGGCACGAGACCACGGCACACATGCTCACGTGGACGATGATGCTCCTGGGCCTCCACCCCGAGTGGCAACAGCGAGCGTTTGAGGAGGTGGCGGAGGTGTGCAAGGGCCGGGATCCCACGTCGGACACGCTCAGCAAGCTCAGAGTCGTGAGTCCCTCGATCATCCCCACCCGTTTGATCGCATCGTTCTAAAAGCTGTGCTCTCGATCCTTGATGCAGATGAACATGATCGTGAACGAGTCACTGCGACTGTATCCTCCGGGAGCCCAGACCGCGCGGGAAGCTCTCAAGGACATGAAGCTGGGCGACCGCATCACCATTCCCGCCGGAGTCTCGGTGGCCATCAACATCGTCGAGGTACACCGCAGCGTGGAAATGTGGGGTGACGACGCCCTGGAATTCAAGCCGCAGCGCTTCGCAGAGGGTGTGTCGAGGGCGTGCAAGCAACCCGTGGGTGGCTATCTCCCCTTTCTACTCGGCCCGCGCGTGTGCGTCGGCCAAGGCCTGGCGCTCATGGAGGCCAAGCTCGCCCTGGTCCTCATCTTGCAGCGCTTGTCGTGGCGGCTATCGCCAAACTATCGCCACGCTCCCATTGTCGCGCTCACCCTCCAACCGCAGCACGGCATGCAACTCGTCATATCACCGAGAAGAACACACGATCGATAATTGATTCAAACCAGTTGTGTACCTCGATCAAGCATGGTTGGCTGGCTGGTATACAGTTTTAGGAGATAAGGATTGAATACTGCCATGTCATATAGATTGAGCAGCCAAGCGACAACCGTCTTTATATCAAACCGTCTCCAATTCCTATACAACGAATGGGTGGCGGCGGCGGCGGCGGGAGGAGAGGGGTGGTGGACAATCCTCCCGCGAGCAGCAGATGGATGATGCTGGCACTTGCCGCGGGAGCTGCCCTTGGGTTGATCACCTTAGCATCGCTGCTGCGGAGATGGCGCCGGAGGAGAGCTCTGGAGAAAGAATGGTGGTGGAGGAGATGACACCCTCCTCGTGTTTGTTTATGTACAGAGAAACCAACCATCAGGTGAACTTTGCAAATTCCTTCTGTACCATGTCACCGCCGCGGTCGGGATCGTATGCACATCTGTAGTAGCTGATGGTGACCATCAAAGTCAGTCGTGACATTTCTACCAGCTCGGTCGGTTTACCTTCCGTCGCCGCAGATGATGATAACGGTGTTCTTGGCGGCCCCAAACGCGACAATCGCTCTGCTGTCCGCTGGCAGCCGGAACTGCGCAAATGACCAGTCCGATTTCAAGTAGCTGGGAAGCACGCCTGTCGTAAAGGATGTATTCACTGGGTTGATGGAAAACAAGAAAAAATAGAGCATTTGTATGTATGTACGTACCTTGGACCATCGAGGAATTGGCAGCAAGAGAAAAGATGGAAGAAGCCGAGAGCCTGGGAAGGCGCCGTCGCGGTTTGTGCTCAAACTTGCTCCTGACCAGGTTGAACACATGGACGGTGCATTTGTCACTGGACACGGCGAGCCAGTGGCAATTGACAGAGAGTGCCAGGCTGAAAATCTCGGCCCGCTCGGCACCCCGGCGGAGCTGCGCAGTAGAGGCAGCAAAGATGGCAGCAAAGATGAGCAAATAAGAAGAAAAGATGAGCAAATAAAAGAAGTAAAACTTTCAACGTACTTCGTGCAGCTTAGTTCCGTCGTTGGTGTCAAAGATGCGAACAATGGTACCTTTGATGCTTGCAGTCGCCAGTAGCCTCCCGTCTTGGCTGAGAGCCAGGCAGGCGAGGGGCGATTCGTGTGCCTGGACGAACAGCGTCTTGCCTAAGCTATACAATTCAAGCCGGACCTCACCTCCGCTCATGGTACCTGGGCACGCAAGGACAAACATAGTGGACGCCGGCGAGATCGCACACACGCCCCTCGGGTTGTCAAACGTCTCCACCTCGTGCAGCGGCTTGAGATCCGACAGGCTATGGACATGGACCTTGTGCTCCAGCACAGCCACCACGGCGTCTCTCCTCAGCCTCACCGCTCTCACCTCGCTCCGGAAGAAGAGCTCGCCAATGCAGCGGCTCTGGTCGTCGTCCCAGATGATCACCTTGTTCCTGGCAGCCGCCCCCACGAGCCCCAAGATGTTGGAGCGAAACACCATCTCCACAATCCCCACGCCTCCATCCAAATCTCGCCGCAGCGTCTGCTTGAGGGGGTCGCAACTGTAGATGCGAAAGCCCACGCTCGTCGAGTACGCAAAGCACCCAGCATCCTGATTGAAGTTTACGTACTGGACCACCGCCTTCTCGCTTCCATCTTCGTCCTCCTCCACCGCCATCCACAACCAAGAACCCTAAGTTATGAGCTCTTCGTTTTCTTGCTTTGCTTTATTCCCTTTGCTTGCCTTTGCGACAGTGTCTCTAAACACGCTTTATTCCCTTTGCTTGCCTTTGCGACAGTGTCTCTAAACACGCTAACTCTCAAGACATGGGGGCCGCGTCGGCCTTCTTCCAAGGATCGTATCGGCTCCAATCTCGCTGGTTTGGGCTGAGGACATGGCCCTTGGAGTGGTATATGTACTGCTCGCCCTCGCCAGTTCGATTGGGTTGGTGCTCCAGGCCGTAGCGCTTGGGTCGCAGATCTTCCAGCTGCTCCGCCGTGTGATCGGTCACGTAGTGGAGCCAGCCATGCCACTCGGGGGGAACGTTCGAGGCGTTGTAGTATTTCTTGTCCGCGTACTCCACCCATCGCGTGCGCCCTGAAGCTCCATTGATTCTTTCATTCTGGCTGCGAATTCCAAGACATACCTGCGGTGCCACTGGGTTTCTCGAAGTACTTGTTCCCGAATTTGTCAATGCCCACCAGCCGGGTGTCTTTGTTCCCCCACATCTTTGTGAGCCTACAAGAGCTCTACTCAGATCTAGCAGCACTACCAAGTGAAATGAGAACTTACAAGAGATTTCCATCTACGATACAGTTCCTACAGGCACAATTTTGTCAGAGAGAAAAGAACTCAAGCTATACTCACAAGATGCCCTCCTTCTTTGCTTCTCGCCAGGCCTGTGCTAGTCCCCCTTCCTTGAACGCCTTGTGCACAGCGCTTAGGAAATACTTCATGCCTGAGAATGGAAACCCTAGGTAGGAGGTAAAGGGAAGTTCGAGTTAAATGAATCATGAATCATTCAAAGAATGTGCTTGCTATATTGCTATTGTTCTAGAGCGCCCAAGAGGCATCTCTCCAGGAGGAACTCGGCATTCACCCAAGCGTGGTATTTGTCTGGAGCAAACAAAGCTTTGAGCACAGGGGAAGAAAACAAATCAACTTACTGAAGAGAGAAGTGCAATCTTTGCCTGCTGCCTTCATCAGCATGTCCAGGCCTGTCAAACACACCTTCTCGTGAGCCAAAGCAAACTCACACTCTTTCTTCGATTACCTCCTGGGTGGAAGTTGAGGTAAGGCGTGATGTTGTACACCCGGCCGCGTAGAACTGTCCATGCATCGTCTTGCTTCCTGTGTTGCTTTACTTCCTCCATAGCTATCATTCTCCTGTTGGATCGCCCCTTGAGCCCTGCGCAAAGAAGTAGTGGTATAGACATGAAGGAGAGCGCTTGAGCACGGCCAACCTGCTAGATCTGGATGGCTCTGGGTGAGCTTGAGCCAGTCCATCTGGCTGAAACCTTTCTCAAACGGAACCTTGTTTCTCTGCTTTGGCGGCGGCATTGCCTTTGAAGACTCCGTGTTGTCAATTGTGGGTTCCGGCTCGGGAGCTTTCTCCTGGAGATGGAGCGCTCGCTATCACAACAACGACAAGACACAAAAGATTTCATTCATGCCTGGAAGAAGCTGAATTCGGTGGCACTGTCGGACGAAGCCGGTGCCTCCATGATCGCGTTCCCTTCCTTTTGACCTTAAAAAAACAAGTTCCTTCCCTAGAACTGGAACTCTACTTGTTCTCCTTGCGTGGAAACACGACCGACAAGAGCACGCCGGCCATGAAAAAACCGAGCGCTGGCTGGAAGAGTAACGGCCACAGTGGGTACCAGGAATCGAGAAGTGTGGACGAGTTGAATGCCGCTTTCTCGCCCAATCCAGCCAGAAGCCATCCCAGTGCCACCACAATGAAGAAAAAGTCCACAATCAGGGCCTTGTCCACGACCTCTCGCAATGGAATGCGAGAATCCTTGTCCGTGAATGACGAAGACTGGCCGGCTTGAAAACTAGCTGGAGCATCCATGCGTCTCAAGTCTTCCTGCATCCCTCGAAGAAGCTCGTCATCCTCGCTACGTTGTTCCTGGTGTTCCTTGCTGGAACAAATCGTTGATCTTATCCACCGACGCCATGACAGGTTCTTATCTCGAATTGTTCCCCTTGGCACTCCATGGCTGCCTGCCAAGAACATTCAAGCGCCATAGCCGATGGATGGATACGCAAACCTGAGGCTGGTCCAAAGTTCCGAGCGAAGGATGGTGTTTCCAAACCACGGAGAACCAGCATCCCTGCTGCTTGTGCTGCTGCCTTTAGGCTTAACCGCTGCTAAGTAGCTGATGGATTGATTCGATTTAAGCTCTCATCTCGGCATCCACTTCTTAAACACACCCTCCCGGAGCGGGGAAATGCCGTGCATGAGGCAGCGAAACGAAAAAAAGTATCGCCAACGCACTGTGCAGGAAAGAATCAAATCAATGCTGTACGCTCTTGTTGCAGCATGGCTTTGATGGTCTCTTCTGAAACCATCAAGTGCTCGTCGTCTTTTGCTGGTTTACAAGCCGTGCTATCGCCGTTTTCCTCTGCACGGGTGCCATGGAAGTGTGAGCAAAGGAGTAAAAGGAAAGTAAGCTCGCGCTCGCGCTCACCTTGGGCACTGTCTTCCTCCTCGATCTCGCAGATCTGTTGGGCGGCGGTGAGCTGCAAGCACTCTGGGAGGAAGCATCTGCAGAGCCAGCCTGGTGAATGGAGACGATGAAACTTTAGAACCAAAGAAGAGTAAAGACGTGGTGGTCGAGGCATTCACCGATTCTGGCGACGCGGTTCACCCAGGACGGGATCGGGTGTTTGACGAGGCGCATGGTGATGTCTTCGCTGAAATGGTTGCAGTTCTTGAGCAGCAAGTGGTAAGTGTCACCGTTGTAATGCGAAGCCACGCTCTCGACGAACTGCCGGAGCTGGAGCGGCCCCATGGTGGTGCTGCCCAGCCGGATGCTCGTCCGGAACATGAAACCGGGGCATCTGCGCGGCTCCACTTCGAAGACGCCGCTGGTTGGGAACTCGTGAGCCCCGAACGCATACTCCACGCCGTGCACTGCCACGCCCCACTCGTTGGAACAATGCCGACTCTCACACACACTCACCTTCGACGCCGCTGTGGAAGATGCCCAGCCCAAACCAGTAGGCGTAATCATTGTAGGCGGTGAGATCGTAGACGTTGAGGAAGACCGGCACGCTCTCCTTGTGTGGCTCTGGCGAGGGCGAGGGAGATGGAGACGGCGAGGAGGAGGAGGAGGTGGATCCGAGCTGCTGGTAGAAATTGGTGAGCCCCATCTCCCGCAAGAACCCTAACTTTGCCACACTCTGCCACGTAGCCCGGGAAGAAGAAATATACCTTGTCGAGTGTCCATACACATGGCCAAGCGACATTCTGGTGCCGCCGTCACCGTCGCCGTCGCAGTCGCAGTCGTCGGTGGCCGGCGCAGCAGCAGTGAGATGCCCCAATGCCGTACTTTGGCGATCCTCGCAAGAGTGGCGGTAAGTGGGCCTTTTCGGAGCAGCCGCGCACCTACAAGGAGCGTTGCCACTACTGCAGCTACAATGGGAGCGACCAGGTTCGATAGCTTTCTCTCTCGACATGGGATCAAATGCGATAAAAAATGATCAAATGTGCGCGATCGTGATCGATCCCCCAACAACGTTAACGTTGCTGCATTGCAGGATATCATGTCCAAGCGGAGGATAGCGGCGCGCACCTTCGGCTTCCAGAGGCATCCGGTTTACAAGACGTCGTGCATGGTGGAGCCGTTGAGGGAGTGCACATACTACGCCCCGGAGGAGGAGCGGCTCAACAAGGACGTGGATGGCTTCATCCGGGAGATTCACGACAAGAGGCGAGACAGGGACAAGGTATAGATCGATCGAGTTTCTGGGAATTACAAACACGAGCGACCGATATAGGATCTATATACTGATCGATTGTATTGCGTGTGTGTGTGTGTGTGTACATGCACAGGAGATTCTGGCGTGTAACAAGGTGGCGCGAGCATACGAGGAGTACAAGCTCGTGTGCAAGAGGGAGGAGGCGTGGGACAAGGAGAAGCTGCGCGACGAGTTTTTCCGCGTGAAACCCCACGGCAGGACCTTCTCCAACCGGAGTGCCGTCAAATACGACATCTTCACCATGGAGTACGAGGACAGCTTCTACGGAAGACAATTCAAGCACGAGGATGACTTGGCCAGGTTCGTCGTCTCGATCTCGCTCGCGCTCTCCCAAACTTTGATGCCGCCACTGCTCAAGATTGAGAACTTTCACAGGTGGCGGCAGACTCTGCGCAAGCTCTTCCTCCAGGCCCGCTCCAGCGGCGTGCCAGACTTCAACATTGTGGACTGGCGGCGGCTGCCCGCGCCGGTGGAGCCCGCGAGGCCGAGGCCGCCCGGGCCCGACCCGGCCAAGGCGCTCCACGGGCTGGAGATGCAGCGATTCAAGCCCGTGGCGGTGGAGCCCGGCGACATCGTCCCCGGCGACGGCAAGACCGCGGAGCTGCTCCACTTCTCGCCCATCCCGCACCAGCGGCCACTCGCCTCCGTCAGGGACGTCATTGTCAACGTCGAGCACCCGTGGCAGCACTGCTGCTAGCTTAGCCGTCATAAGAATATATCGGTTGCAAGGAGAATATACCGGTGGCATGGAAAATATACCGCTAGCGTCAAGTGAAATAAAACTATTCCAGGGAAAAAAAGAAATTCACATAAATGGCGAGAAACATGATAGGCTAGCAAGGCAGTGGGAAGAAAGAAGGGGTGCGACCATATTGACCCCTATTTTCTCCCTTCCCTTGTCTCTCTCTCTCTCTCTCTCGCTCGTCCACTCTCTCCTCCAAGCCCCACGCATCACACACACACACACACTCCTCTCTAATCACAGGGCGCGCAAGGGGATAGGTCGTGGCGGGCGAGATCTGGCGAGATCCCCTCCCATTTCCGGCGACTGGGGCGGGATGGAGATGAATGGCGGGTGAGGAGGGAGAGGGGCTTCATCTTGGCGCTTGCTAGGTAACGACGGCGGCGGAGGAGGGCGAGGGCAGAGGGCGAGGGCGCGGCCGCCATGGATGGGAGGTGTGGTAGAATACACATGTGATGCGCGGCGCCAAGAGCTTGTTCGTCTCAGGTCTCTCTCTCTCTCTCTTCGCTCGCTCGCTCGCTCTTTCCTTGCGATTTGCGGTTAACCCTCTCCTTGTTTGCGTGCTTGCCTCTCGCTATCTTCCATTGCTTGCTGCTCGGTGTAGGGTTTTTGGTGGCATACTTGGATCTGGATGTCCATTTTGCTAACATGGCATGGCAAATCTTGTGCGTGGGCAGCTCCTCCTAGTGACTGGATAAGCGGCAGCACCACCACCAACGAGGAGGAGGCAAGAGCAGCGTATGGCATCAGCTAGCGTGGGACCTGTGGGTGCCATCAGAGGAAGCACCAGCGCAATTGTGGTCTCCAAGGTTGGTGGTAGCGGCGTTGATCAGCTCCCCGAAGAGATGCACGAAATGAAGATACGGGACGACAAGACGGACCATTCCGACGATAAGGTATTCGCTGGTTGATAGATTGATATCTCACCATCTTTTTCTTTTATCTTTTTGTTTTCCTTTTGCTCCAGGAATTGGAAGCCACTGTCGTCGATGGCAATGGCACAGAGACTGGCCACATTATAGCTACGACGATTGGAGGCCGCAATGGCCAGCCAAAGCAGGTATTTTTTTATTCTTCTCGGCTTCTCGGAGTGACAGTGGTTTCTTTTCCAGACGATTAGCTATGTCGCGGAACGTGTTGTAGGAACTGGATCGTTTGGCATCGTCTTCCAGGTGTGCAAACTCGCTTTAATCATTCTAGGCTAACGTTTCTTCCTGTTGGGCTTCACTTCAGGCCAAGTGCCTCGAAACAGGAGAGACGGTGGCCATCAAGAAGGTGTTACAGGACAAGAGATACAAAAACCGGGAGCTGCAAATAATGCGCCTTCTTGACCATCCCAACATCGTTGCTCTCAAGCACTGCTTCTTCTCCACTACTGACAAGGACGAGCTCTATCTCAACTTAGTCCTCGAGTATGTTCCGGAAACCGTGTATCGCATCGCAAAGCATCACAACAGAATGAATCAGAGAATGCCACTCTTGTATGTAAAGTTGTATACATACCAGGTAAGCTTGCAAGCGTTTCTTTACCACTTCCTTATCCATTCCCGTTTCTTCTTCGTAGATATGCCGATCTCTCGCTTACATCCACGGCGGGATTGGGGTCTGCCACCGTGATATCAAGCCACAAAATTTATTGGTAGGAGGTCCTTGTCCTTTGAGGGTTGATTTGTACTTACTGCTTTTGTTGTAAGTACAGGTTAATCCCCATACACACCAGCTGAAGCTATGTGACTTCGGCAGCGCCAAAGTGCTGGTGAGTGCTGTCGAATTCCTTTCTTTCACGTTTGATGTAAACTTGTTTTGGTTTTTTAGGTGAAAGGGGAACCGAACATCTCTTACATATGTTCCAGATACTACCGAGCGCCCGAGCTGATTTTCGGTGCCACGGAATACACAACAGCAATTGATATCTGGTCGATGGGATGTGTGTTGGCTGAACTGCTACTTGGTCAGGTGTGCTTTGCTTGTTTGAGGTATTAGAAGACATCCTTACCACTTGTGAATGTTCTACAGCCGCTATTTCCAGGAGAAAGTGGCGTCGACCAGCTGGTGGAGATTATCAAGGTTGGCTCGTTGTTTTTGCCTTATGGTGGCTGGGCGCTCATAAAGTTGGACTTGCGCAGGTTCTTGGAACCCCTACTCGCGAGGAGATCAAGTGTATGAATCCCAACTACACGGAATTCAAGTTCCCTCAAATCAAGGCCCATCCTTGGCACAAGGTGCGTAGGCAACTTCTTTGTTGGGGCGGTCGTTTACGTAGTAACGTGGCAGGTGTTTCACAAGAGAATGCCTCCGGAGGCTGTGGATCTTGTCTCGAGACTACTCCAATACTCGCCTAATCTGCGCTGTAGTTCAGTAAGTTTCTCCCAAATCGTCCACTTTGAAGGGCCCTGACACTGGTGGTATACACTTCACAGCTAGAAGCGCTTGCACACCCATTCTTTGATGAGTTGCGGGATCCTAACACTCGACTTCCAAATGGTCGTCCGCTACCACCTCTGTACAATTTCAAGCAATTGGGTGAGTGCCTGTCTCCAGCTTCTATTCCTTTCAGGCTTGAAGTCGCGTTTTTTCGTTGCACAGAATTGAAAGGGGCCTCTCCAGAGCTGTTAAATCGCCTCGTTCCCGAACACGCGCGTAAGCAGGTGCCTTTCCTCGCTCTATAACCTGTGCCCGGGCCTGGAAGAGAGAGAGAGAGCTGGGTGGGATCATCTTCTTCTTAACAGGTGTCCATCAAGCTGCCGCTGGTGGTCTTCCTTTTTATCCTCCTTAATTCTCAATGCTGGTGTTGGTAAGCTAGCTAGTATGACACCAAAGTGGCTGGTTGCTTTTTTTTTTTCTCCTTTTTTGTACCTTGAGAGTTACCTATCTAATGTGCTTGCTGCTCTTGTATCACTTGTGTGTGTTAGCAGTAATCTCCGAAATGAATTGTTCTTCTCTGTGCCGTACTTGGAGTGTACAGCACGGCACGCTACGGAGGTGCACGGCCTACCGTAGTTGGTCAAAGTAGGCGTCGCGCCGTTCAACGGCCAGCTCGCGCGCGACTCGACTTGAGTTGACTGAGGTTATGAGGGTGATTTGCCAAAGCAAGAAGTTAACGTCCATGTTTTTTTATACATCTTACCAGTAATCTCCACAGTGGCAGCGGCCGTGTAAAAAGTGGTGGAAGCGCTTGGTGTCCCTGACGACAATCTCTCTTTCGAGGATGCTCGACAGGAGCTTGAATGCATTGTGGCAATCACCACACATGCGAAGGTTCTTGATGATCCGAAGCGTGCTACGAGGCTTAGTACTACTGACCACCCCAAAAGCAATTGCCAGCTTTTCACTGTGGCAGAAGAGCAGCTGCTCCTTGAGCTCCTCCTCGACGTCTTGCAGAACGAGGCTCGTGTTTGGAACGTAACCGGCGTCCTTGAGAAGCAGCGCCAGGCGGTGGAGCTCCGCATAGATGGCTTCACTCTTGGGATGCGAGCAATCCTTGGCAGTGAAGACATGGACTTTGTTCCTCACCTCGATGGAGCTCCACCCGGCTTCCTTGGCTAAGCCCCGACGAGCCATGAGCTCTCTAACACCGGCGGCATCGTCCCATCTCCCTTGCGCCGCGTACATGTTGGACATGAGGATGTAGGCCCCGACGTAGGCCGGATTGAGCTCCATAACTCGCTGTGCAGCTCGTCGCCCGCGCTCCCAGTCACCATAATTCCTGCAAGCGCCCACCAGGCTCATCCACACTATGTCGTCTGGCGCGCACGGCATCATGCTCGTGATGAAACGCTCCGCATAGCCGAGATAACCGGAGCGAGCCAGCAAGTCGACAATGCAGCCGCAGTGCTGAGTGGAGACTGGCACGGCGAAGTCGGTGCCATGACGCATGGCCGCGTAGAGGGAGCAGCCGGTTTTCAGCAGCGCTGGGTGGCGGGCGCAGGTGGCGAGGAGGCTAGTCAAGGTGATGGCGTCGGGCGAAATGCCTGCGAGGAGCATGTGTGAGAAGAGCCACAGCGCGGCAGGATGGCCCTGCTGGGCAAATGCGGCGAGCATGGAGTTCCACGACACGAGGTTAGCGGGGGCGGAGCTGGACGTGAAAAAGATGCCGGCAGCATGGTCAAGAGCCCCACATCTCCCATACATGCTCACCAGGGCGTTTTGCACGACGGGGTCTTCGGCAACGCCGGCCTCGCGAACGTGTGAGTGGCAGAAGCGTGCCTGGCCGAGCGCCGCCACCGCAGCGCATGCCGAGGCGACGGTGGCGAGAGTAACGGCGTTGGGCTTGGCACCCGACAGCAGCATCCGGCGGTACAGCAGCAGCGCTTCGAGAGAATGTCCGCTCTGGGAGGTGACAGAGATGATGGAGGTCCAGGTTACCACGTTTGGTTGCTCCATGCGCTCAAACACCGCTCGCGCTTCTTGCAGGCTGCCGCATTTGGCGTACATGTTGACGACAGCGGTCTCCATGACGAGGTCTCTGCCTCCATCGAACTCCAGAATGTGCGAGTGGAGCATGCGGCCTTGGGCGAGGCTTAACTCGGGGGAATTGAGCAACGCCACAAAGGTTACCTTGTCCGGCGCCATCCCCTCGAGCTGCATTCTCCGGTACAGGCTTAACGCCTCCTGCGAATGCCCGTTGTCGGCAAATGCGGTGATGATACCAGTCCAAGACACCACGTCCCTTTGCTGCAGCTCGATTCCTTCAAACGCATCTACTGCTTCTCCCACACATCCGTGTGCTGCGTACATCTTCACCAACGCTGTGGCAATCACGACGTGAGAGGCCAGGCCACAGTCTCGGATTCGAGCGTGGACTCTCCTTCCTATGGGCAGCAGAAAGGCTCGCTTGCCTTCAGCGCAGGCGTTGACAACCGTGGTGAATGTGAAACCGTCGGGCATAACGCCGTCGAGCTGCATCTCGTGAAGCATCGCAACTGCTTTCGTGTGTTGCCCAGACTGGGCAAATGCTGCAATCATGTTGGTCCACGCAATGACGTCCCTGCATGGCATTTCATCCATTGTCCGGCGCGCATCCTCCAAGCAACCGCAACGAAGGTACATGTCCACTACGTGATTCCCAAGGAAAGAATCCAATCCCACCCCCGCCGCCTTGATCTCCTCCAATATCCCCTTCCCTTTCCACAGGATAACGTCCGCTGGATCATCCGTGCTCTTGTAGCAGTCGCGGAGCATTCGAGCGTAGTAACGGTTCTCATTCCTTGCCTGCTGTTTCGCATTTTTTGGGGCGTGAGGAGCCAACTCAATACAAAAGTCTGGACAAGTAGACATCCAAGATCCTCACCACCTTTCTCAAGAACAGCTTCTCATCAGACCTGTACTTCAACGCCGACTTCCATCTCACGGACTTGTCCTCTCCAGCTGCCGCTGTTGGAAAGCCCATAAGTGAGCTACGCGAAGACCGAAAACCAAGAAAGAAGAGACTCCTTACCCATGAGCTTCACATCTTGTTCGTAGCTACTTGGATATGCTGACAGTAGCTGCCGGCATTCCTTCTGTAGCTCCCTCACGGCTCGCTTTTCCATGCTAGGCAGAAACGGGAGATCCGCATCCGACCACATCGGGAGAATCCGAGCTGCTGCAAGAACAGCTCCATCTGCCATGGGATCGTCTGTGCCTGTGACGAGCAACAAAGATGCTTTTCACGGGTTTGAAAAGAGCACCGCATACCTCTCAGGTAGTAATTTGGCCCCAGCCCACTGATCCCAAACGCAGATAGGAATGAGTCCCTGTGGATGGAAACCGAGCCACTGAACTTGACAACATTCCAAGGATTCTGCAAAAGAAAGAACCACTTTGGTCATCGTTGTTTGTGTAGGGCGTTGTCTATACCACTGGTGAAGAGAAGCCAAACCGGTGCATGTAGTCTCGCGTCGGGTTCTTTGGCAAGTAGTCAAGCGTCATCTGCTCATACACAGAACTTTTAGCTGCGTGTGAGAAAAAAGAAACACACTAACCTCGTCTCCCTCTCTAATCGTCTGCCCGGCCTTGACCACCACTTCGAGCACCCGATCGCAGGCTCGCCATCGCAAGGAACAAGTTGGTTGAAACGAGTGATTTAGCATATCTACGCACACCGAGAGAAGAAAAACAAACGAGAATTACGATGACCATCAAAGTATGTGGTGTTACCAGCGTAGGGGGAGATTATGTTGGCAACTTGGACTTTAGAACCGATCTTCATGGTTAGTGTGTGCGAGCGTGACCTTGCCATGCCAACGGCCCATTTGAACCTGTCGCTGTCTCGGGCCAAGCGTTTTAGCTTCAAAGGCGCCCCCGGATGCTGCCACGAGGAAGTAAAACTCAGCTATGATCTCTGGAAATGTTACAAGTCTACTCACAAAACACTCCTCCCATTTCTTCTGAATCTTCTCCTGCTCGTCCTTGATGCACTGAGAAAGCACGGAATCTTGTAGCGCGTCAAGTTCTTCCTGAGGGACAAAAGAGAAACCATGGTTTCCTTGAGAAGATCTGACAACCAGCTTACCTCGGTTGCAAGAAGCAAGTCCGTGCTCTCTGCCTGATTTGGAAGATAGTCTCCGTAAAGCCTCCAGAAGTTGCCGTCTTGCTCGAGCGCCAGCAGCAGGAGGCACCCCAGCCTGATATCGTAGTCTGTCTGGAATGAAAAAACTCTCAGTCCACAGAGACCGTGTAACTCCCTGGCACTCACCTCGGGATCAGTCGAGTTGATAACATCAAACACTGGGTGACCGATTGGTACAATATCCGGGAAGAACATCCAAGGGAGATTGCTGCTCACGGTGACAAGTATCTCCATGGGTACTTCGAGTATAACCTGTGGAGGAAGAGAGAAGGATGGATAAGTTCTTTGGTCAGAGTTTCATGTCCCAGAAAGCAATCCAGACTTACCCACCCTTGGCCTCTCAATGTCGGTCATGTCTTTGGCAGCATACACTCCAACTCCATCCGGCCCTTCCTTGAAGTGGACACCGTATGCTCGGACGTGGCGGAGGTGCCCGATTGTGTAGTACTCGGGCTGCATCAGCTCCACTCCCTGCCTCGCCTCCTCCACTTGAGGCTGGGGCGGCGCAGCCACCATTGCTGCTGCTGCCGCTACTCTCCTCCTCCCACATTTTAAGCCTCTCCCACATATGGATTTGGAGCTGGCAAACCTGTCCAGCGATGGCACCAATGGCGCTGCTGCTGCTGCTGCTACCAGATGATATCCCATCCAAGAGCAAAGAGAACGCGCGCTTCTCAAGACTCCATATTTTTCTATCGCTTGCCCTAGTTAGGGCTGTGAGCGATGACAATGGCGCGAGCGCGTGCGCGGCTGCCATCTCTCCACTTGCGTAAGTCGCGCTTACATCCATCGCTCTAAATTACACTCTTCTTCTCCAGCAGGAGGAGCTGGCGAAGCATTCTCTTTTGTTGCCAGGTACTTCTTTGCTTCTCTCTCCTTTCTTCTAAGCTTGTCACTCCAGGCGAATGCAACACTCGGACAAGGGCATGATCGGGACCACGGTTCTTTGCATCCGCAAGAATGACTCGGTGGTGATAATCGGGGACGGGCAAGTCACCATGGGCGCCGAGATACTCAAGCCCAACGTACGTAAGGTCCGAAGGATTGGGGAGAATGTGATCGGAGGCTTTGCAGGTAGCGCTTTGCTTGATTGAGCTTACATAGCCATGACAATGGTCGAGCAGGCGCCACCGCTGATGCTTTCACTCTGTTTGAAAGGCTGGAGACGAAGCTGGAAGAACACCCTGGTCTGGTCTCACGAAAAAAAGCCCCGTTTGTCCCCTGAAAGCTTGTTTTGATCTCAGGCCAGGTACCGCACTTTGTTCGTGGATCGAGAGCTTGAAAAAATTTATCTTGTGAGCAATGGCAGCTAACGCGGGCTGCGGTGGAGCTTGCAAAAGCATGGAGAACTGACAAGTTCCTTCGAAGGCTCGATGTAAGTGAAAACTCAATCATGTTCTCGTTTGCAAGTCCTTGTGCTAAATTGTTTCATCCAGGCATTGATGGTGGTAGCGGATGCCGAGATATCCTTGACGATCACAGGCACTGGAGATGTTCTAGAGCCGTATGATGGAATTGTGGGTACGAGAGCCTCTCTCTGTCTCGGGCCAAGCGTTTTAGCTTCAAAGGCGCCCCCGTGATGCTGCCACGAGGAAGTAAAACTCAGCTATGATCTCTGGAAATGTTACAAGTCTACTCACAAAACACTCCTCCCATTTCTTCTGAATCTTCTCCTGCTCGTCCTTGATGCACTGAGAAAGCACGGAATCTTGTAGCGCGTCAAGTTCTTCCTGAGGGACAAAAGAGAAACCATGGTTTCCTTGAGAAGATCTGACAACCAGCTTACCTCGGTTGCAAGAAGCAAGTCCGTGCTCTCTGCCTGATTTGGAAGATAGTCTCCGTAAAGCCTCCAGAAGTTGCCGTCTTGCTCGAGCGCCAGCAGCAGGAGGCACCCCAGCCTGATATCGTAGTCTGTCTGGAATGAAAAAACTCTCAGTCCACAGAGACCGTGTAACTCCCTGGCACTCACCTCGGGATCAGTCGAGTTGATAACATCAAACACTGGGTGACCGATTGGTACAATATCCGGGAAGAACATCCAAGGGAGATTGCTGCTCACGGTGACAAGTATCTCCATGGGTACTTCGAGTATAACCTGTGGAGGAAGAGAGAAGGATGGATAAGTTCTTTGGTCAGAGTTTCATGTCCCAGAAAGCAATCCAGACTTACCCACCCTTGGCCTCTCAATGTCGGTCATGTCTTTGGCAGCATACACTCCAACTCCATCCGGCCCTTCCTTGAAGTGGACACCGTATGCTCGGACGTGGCGGAGGTGCCCGATTGTGTAGTACTCGGGCTGCATCAGCTCCACTCCCTGCCTCGCCTCCTCCACTTGAGGCTGGGGCGGCGCAGCCACCATTGCTGCTGCTGCCGCTACTCTCCTCCTCCCACATTTTAAGCCTCTCCCACATATGGATTTGGAGCTGGCAAACCTGTCCAGCGATGGCACCAATGGCGCTGCTGCTGCTGCTGCTACCAGATGATATCCCATCCAAGAGCAAAGAGAACGCGCGCTTCTCAAGACTCCATATTTTTCTATCGCTTGCCCTAGTTAGGGCTGTGAGCGATGACAATGGCGCGAGCGCGTGCGCGGCTGCCATCTCTCCACTTGCGTAAGTCGCGCTTACATCCATCGCTCTAAATTACACTCTTCTTCTCCAGCAGGAGGAGCTGGCGAAGCATTCTCTTTTGTTGCCAGGTACTTCTTTGCTTCTCTCTCCTTTCTTCTAAGCTTGTCACTCCAGGCGAATGCAACACTCGGACAAGGGCATGATCGGGACCACGGTTCTTTGCATCCGCAAGAATGACTCGGTGGTGATAATCGGGGACGGGCAAGTCACCATGGGCGCCGAGATACTCAAGCCCAACGTACGTAAGGTCCGAAGGATTGGGGAGAATGTGATCGGAGGCTTTGCAGGTAGCGCTTTGCTTGATTGAGCTTACATAGCCATGACAATGGTCGAGCAGGCGCCACCGCTGATGCTTTCACTCTGTTTGAAAGGCTGGAGACGAAGCTGGAAGAACACCCTGGTCTGTCTCACGAAAAAAAGCCCCGTTTGTCCCCTGAAAGCTTGTTTTGATCTCAGGCCAGGTACCGCACTTTGTTCGTGGATCGAGAGCTTGAAAAAATTTATCTTGTGAGCAATGGCAGCTAACGCGGGCTGCGGTGGAGCTTGCAAAAGCATGGAGAACTGACAAGTTCCTTCGAAGGCTCGATGTAAGTGAAAACTCAATCATGTTCTCGTTTGCAAGTCCTTGTGCTAAATTGTTTCATCCAGGCATTGATGGTGGTAGCGGATGCCGAGATATCCTTGACGATCACAGGCACTGGAGATGTTCTAGAGCCGTATGATGGAATTGTGGGTACGAGAGCCTCTCTTTGTTTTCCTCTCTCAGTTTTGATGCTTCAAACCAGGCATTGGCTCTGGAGGCTCGTATGCCTCCGCTGCTGCTCGGGCTCTCATGGATCTCCCTGACATGGACGCCGAGAAGATCGGTAAGGCAACCATAGTAGCGCCCGCATCGACCGTCTGACAAAGGATTTTGCTTTGTCCGCAGCTAGAAAGGCCATGAAAATCGCCGCCGACTGTTGCATCTACACGAACCACAACTTCACGCTCGAGACGATCAAGGTGACGCCCAGGAGCCCCGACGTTGACAATCAAGCCGCTACTATATCGGTGCCGGGAGCCACCACTACCAAGGGATCCTGATTGATTGACTGACCATGTAACATCACGAGTTGAGTATCAGCAAACTTAGTCGCGGTGAATGTGGAATAAGAAGGTTCATTGCACGACACTGATCTGCGCATATGGCCGGCAAGGGCACTCGGACACTGCAAAGCTGATTTTCGATCGAATGTTAGACAAGGATGCGATATCCTGGAACGCACTCTTGTCCGCCTACGCCCAGCAGGCGGATGCCGCAGCTATCGCGCTCGCCAAGATGCCGCAGCACAACACCGTGTCGTGGACAAGTGTTTTGGGTGCATATGCCCGCAAAGGGCAACATAGAGAGGCACGCGATATTTTTGATGGCATGCTGCAGCGAGACTTTGCATCGTGGAATGCAATGCTGTATGGGCTTGCAGAGAGCAAGATGGTGTCGCAAGCGGCGGATGTGTTTGCCAAGATCCCGCAGCGAAGCCCCGCTGCCTGGAATGCTGCAATACTAGCATATGCCACCACCGGTCATATCGAGCTCGCTCGGTTTACCATGGATTCCATGCCTGATCCCGACAGTGCGTGCATGAGCACAGTGTTCGTGGCATACGCGCAGCATGCACCCTCTGCAGAAGCAAAGATCCTCTTTGATAAGTTGCGGGAGCGGAATCTCGTGCTGTGGGGCCTCATGTTTCAAGCGCTTGCCCGTGCTGGTGATCTGGACGCGGCTGAGCAGCTCTTCCTGGCCATGCCCGCCACGGATGTTGTCTCGTGGACGGCTCTTGTCCAAATCTACGCGGAAGCCGGGGAGGTGACCAAAGCGAACACTGTTTTCTTTACCACCATGCCATGCCGCAACGTGGTATCATGGAACCTGTTGATTGCTACCAATGCCCAGGGTGGGTATCTGCAACTCGCTTACGCACTCTTGTTCCGGATGCCACAGGAAAGCATTTCGGCGTGGAATTCCATCCTGGCTTCGGATCATCTTAGCCCACAAGCGGCAAGCCAGGTGTTTGTAGCGATGCCAAAGCGGGATGTCACGTCATGGACAAGCATGCTTGCAGTATATAGACGATCACGGGACAAGACAATGGTGAAGCAGCTGTTTGACGAGATGCCAGAGCGCAACATTGTTTCTTGGAACGTTGCTCTGTCAGGGCTTGCCACGGACGCTGGCATGGCCAAGCACGTCTTCGACAGAATGCCGGCATGGGACTGTGTTTCTCAAAACTCGCTGCTCGCAGTTTATGCCCAAAACGGGCATCTGGAATCAGTGAGCTCCTGGTTCGAGTGCATCACGGAGAAGGACTCAGCCTCATGGGACATAGCCATTTCAGTGTTTGCCAGGAACGGAGAGAGCAACCGGGCGTTTGGGCTCTTGCATCAAGCGATCTTGGAAGGAAACCCCTGCACACAGATGGACATTGCATTCCTGGGGCTTCTCAACGCATGCAATCACCTCGGCCTTGTGCATCGGGGGCTCTCGTTGTTCCTGTCGATGCAAAGTGACCATAGCATTGACCCGTCCCACTATCACTACTGCTGCATGCTCGACACCTTGGGGCGTGCCGGGCAACGGTCTAACGCGGAACAATTGCTACAAACAATGCCATTCGAGCCGAGCGAAGTGGCATGGAAGGCAGTGCTTAGCTCCGAAACCCGAGTTTTGGAATAAGTAATGACGATAATTACTCTAGGGTTTTGGGAGGGTTCGGAAACCCGAGCAGCATGGGAAGGGAGGGGGGTGGGCGGCGATGAGCTTGGGACCGGGGATGGCGCTGGCACAGGGGAGCAGGCGCTGCAATGCATTCCGGCAGCAGCATATAAGCTTGTTCCATTGCTCAGCATCGCTGCAAGAGAAATGGCGGTGCAAATACAAAAATGTGAGTGATTTTCTTCCCTCATTCCTTCTGATCTCCTCGATGCTGTGGTGCTGCAGAGAACGGGCTACGATTCCGACAATAGCCACAAGGTGAGGTGAGTTGAGCTTTGCCAAAGAAAAAATGCGTTTTCTTTTCTTCGCTGGTATTGATTTTTTCGTGTGGGCAGAAATTCGTAGCATATGAGAGGCGTTTAGAGAGGGCTGCACACCGCAAGGATTTATTGAATTGGAGGCTCCACGTTACATTTAGTGAGCTCGAGGTTGATCATTTCCAGTGCCACAAAACTATAGCTGCTAGTCCTGGTCCCGGTTCTTTTTGCGGTGCTTGCTGGGCTGATTTCTCTTTCTGCCAATCTGCAGGGATCATACACATCAACGAAGCCCAAGTCGCAAGACTTTCGGTGGAATCGCAAGAAGGTGACCTCCAAGAAGACAAACGACTGGGAGGCGTACTTGAAGTACGAAGGCGACTGGGAGAGGTTTTGTAGGAAGTTTACGAATTTATCCGGTAAGCACTTGTTTCCTGTCTTCTGTCTCCGTTGTGGACATCACTCATCGAGAGAGTGGACAGATTTTGAGACGCGTAGGCCTCGGTCTCAGAAAGAACGGGCTAAGAAGATGTGGCACGAATGGGACTCGTCAGACTCGTCGGACTCGGACGACGACGACGACGATGACGACGATGGCTGGGATGACGATCCAACGTTTGGAAGGCAATATCACAAGACTAGCAGGCCTCGGGTAGAACAAACGTTCAAGGGGAAACCTGTAGTCACCGTTGGACAAAGGTCGGACCGCCTGGCTCTTGGGCTTCCTCCGGCAGGCTCCTTGACAATGGAGCAGCTCAAAGCAGCGTAAGTTTGGTCTCGTTAGTGCCTTGTTTCTTACCCATGTCTGTTTCTTTTGTCGCCGCACAGCTTCCGTGCATCCGCATTGAAATGGCACCCGGACCGCCACCAAGGCTCTACCAAGGTTTGATGAATGCAGTTGCGTGTTTTGTAAACCTTTGCTTCTTGACCTTTTCTTGTAGGAAACCGCCGAAGAGAAATTCAAAATGTGCGGTAACGCTTATAGAGCTCTGTGTAGCGCCCTGGCTGAGAAGAGAGCTTAAATGCCACCATTGATGATTGTAAGAGAGATTAAATATTTAGATGGAAGCAGTTTTTTATAATACAATGCAGAAGATTTCCCAGGATTAAAAGTTCTTTGTTAATCTTTTATTTAAGCTCCACCAATATGATGGGATGCATGATGATATATATATATATATAAAGAAAAATGGTAAGTTACCAAGTTAGGCTCAAATGCTTTACATTTATTTGAAATATTTATGTACTTACTACAAGATTATAGCACCCCTAGCATCCCATGCAAATCAACCATGCGATGAACTGCTTTATTGCTGAGAGAATAAATAAAAGATAACCAATAACTCTTACTTCTGTTAGCTCTTTGAGCTTCATTTGAGAAAATACTTCCACACATGTCCATTGCATTATAGAACAACTTCCACATGAAACTAGCCTGAGGCTGTGGCAACACAAAAGCTGTTTTCTAGCAAGCATTCCAGGCATTCACAAGATCCATTCACAAGATCAAGAAATCAACCGTACATAGAAGTAGAAATAACTTCATATGGGCATGGCCACTAAACCATGAAATAAAAAATCAGGAAGAATGTATTTATACCAGAGGCTCTAAAGGCTTAAGAAAATGGATTTCCTAAACATTAGCAAACACAAAAGCACAAAAAAGAAAACATTTGGAACTAAGGGGTCCCAAATTTAAACACTCTTTTAGGTTTGAACCAAGAAAATATTAATTGTTCGCAGTTCAAAACGTTTTTTTTCTCAGGCCAAAGCAGAACAAAATACAACACCCTGGTTTCTTGGCCTGAATGGGGATAGCTATCTTAAATGGTTTAATTGCCAAGAAAAAACCATTTAGGAGATTATTTACTTATAAATTTAGTTTGTAAAATTGAAAATGCCAGAAATAATTAAGTAACAACTCTATAATAAAATTGCCTTTCTTTTAGTTTCAAGAAGTTAACAATGGTCCCACTGTTGTTAGTCTAATTTAAGAAAAGTTTATAAGACTTATAACTCAAAAATTATATCATATTAATTGATAGTTATTTTAAATCATTGTAGTGACTAGCTTATACTCTAGTAATATGTGTATCACTAGTACTTTTATGATTTCTATATTTTGAACTTATTAGTCATAATGATAATTTTTTTAGCTCAAATAAAAAGTCATTTCTGTATATGCTAATAGCCAAATCAATTTTAGACTTTCTTGAATGACTTAATTGAAATATTTAATTGATTTAATTTAAGGCTGATTTATAAATTGCATTTATATAGGAATTATTTATGGTTTTTTATTGTTTGTTGCAATTTATATGAATTTTAAAATGAAGGGATATTATTGTTTTCCCCAATCCATTGCCTCTTAATGTTTTATAATTTATTTCTAATAAATCAGCTTATTTCTTGGTGGTCAAGACAAATAAATGGACCAAGGCTTATTAAGCAGTAAGCTCTTCATATGGGTTAATGATTTTGAAAGTGGGAGACTCATTTATAATGATCAATGGCAGGGCAAATTTAACAGTCAGTAGAAACAAGAGCAACCACTGAATTCCCATTTAAATTCTATTAGAAGCAGCACATTGTAATGAGCCCAAGATTAAATTATAGTGTGATTTGCAATATGCAATATTTATAATTAATAAAAATCAATCCTTTTTTGTGATATAAAAGCTAATATTTAGAAAGTTTTCTGCTCATTAGGTTAAAGTTTTCATTTTTTATAAATATAGCATTGAAATAAATGCCCCATATTGGCAAGGTGATGCAATTTATTATTCACTTTTGTGCTTAAGCTCATTGCCATGACAGTATCAAGAACAAAATCAAGTTTGTGGGATTGTTGAATTGTGTTGTAATTTGGCCTAAGGCTCACTCTGATAGAAAGCTCCAACTAGATGCCCAAAACGTTGTTCTTGAAACTCTAATACCTAAAATTCAATTCTTAGGAGTTCTTAAGAGAATACAAAATGTTTTAGGTGAGATGAGAGAACTGCAATATGGAGGAGTTGACCTCATCAAGCCAAGCACCAATCTATTCCTTGCTAGTCTTAAAAAAAGATGGTAGTTGAAGCTTTGCATGGATTATAGGGGCCTGAACAAGGACTCTTAATTCTGCATATGGACAAGTTATTGGATGAGCTTGGCAAGTAATTAGATTGATTTTCCCTCTAGTTATTACTAGATAGTAGTGAAAGTAAAAGATTGGTATAAGACAATGTTTTGCACTCACCGGAGATAATTCTGGTTTTCGATAATGTTATCATAGGCTTACTAATACCCCAGCCATATTCCAAATGGTGGTGAAATTCTTGGCCTACATCTCTTCAGGTTTATTGTTAAGCAAATCTTCTTAGGTTGCTTCAGTGGTGATGGTTAAGAAAAAAATGGTTTAAAGTGTCTTTATGTGAACTAGAAAGGATTGAATGATAGGATGGTGAATAATATATTCATTAATATTAATCCACATGGCTTAAAGTATGACTAAGTTAAATTTAGTCAGTTTATTTTATAATATATTTTTTCATGACTAATCAAGTGCAACTGAGTAGTGGCAAAGAGGGCTTGGGAATGGCTGGGTGGCAATTTTCTTTGCATCAGTGTGGTAATTCTTCCTTCAGTTCTAATAATTGATATTAGAGGTAGATTTATAAGTTGATCAAACACAAGTTCTTTTAGAAGAATATGAAAAATTACATTCTTGAGTATGGGAGAATTGTTAGCATGAAGGTGTTAATAGAAAGGCTAATAGGGTTTTTGGTGGTATTGGTTATCCTAGAGGATAAATGTGTAAGTAACAAAAAAGAACAACTCAAGAAATGATTCATAAATGTTAAAATAGGGAAATGAATAAAAGTGCATCTCTTGATAACGGTATTAGGATATATAGGGTTAAATGTCTTTAGGTTTGAGCAATATTGATTTGAATGACTTTCTAAAAAATCTAAATTCAAGAGTTGACATTTAGTATTAGAGTGGTCTTAGGTCCAATTGCATGTTGAGATTGACATTTAGTGATCCAGTTTGGTAAAGTATATTTAGATTTAAGTAGTACTAAATTAGTATCAGAGCGGTCTTGGGTCCAATTGCATGTTAAAATTGACATCTTATGATCTAGTTTCATAAAGTATATTTAGGTTTGAGAAGTATTAAGTTGGATAACCTCCCAAGAATTCCAAATTTAGGAGCTTATAAGATAGATGAGCATATCCATGTATTTTATTATGCATTTACAAAAAACACAAAGGTAAAATAAACAAGCTTAGGTCATTATAGATTGTTTAACCAATTTTATAAAGTTGGTTCCTCTGAAAAAGGTAGTAAAGAGTGTGAACTTAGCTACAATATACCTTGAGTGTGACTTTTGTCAATTTGGTTTGCCAATGGAAATTACACTCAAAATTCACAAATGAACTTTGGAGAAGCTTTATGAAGGTCATGAAGATTGTGTTACGAATGTGTTTATGGGTATCGAAAGTTACTTATTGATTAGTCTTTTCAAATATTTTTCCCTTGCTGCCATAACGGCAGAAGGTTGGTATTGCTGAATCCTTTATCAATCTCCACTCAAGCTAGTTGAGAAAGTAATTATGTATATACTTATGTCAGATAAACATAAGGTAAGAACACCTATATATTTCTTGCTGAGCATACTCGGTCCGGTATAAAAAACTTATATGTTGGCTTGCACTTATTTGTATTGGGAATTCTTGCAATATTAAGCTTGGTCCCTCAATATTTGTTAAATGATAGCTTACTGTGTCCGCCAAGACACTGTGAGACACAAATCCCTAAGCTAAACTCTTTATGAACTCTTTATCATTTCGGTCATGTTTTTGGGGATCCTTTTAGCTTACGACACCTCGGGGAGTTAATTCCTTACACCTAAGGGGTTTAAGAAACTCCAAAAGTATAGTAGAGGGGAGGATTCTAGTGGAGCCAGTTTGGCCAGGAAAGGCTAATGTGACCAAAGAAGGCTATACCCACGTGTTGGGTGATGATATAATCACTGAGGAGTCCAAGATGAGGTAGTTTGGTGAAATGAGCTAGCTCTAACTCCCTTAGGAGATTGAATGGTCGATACTCCCAATCCAAGTATGGGTGGCATTACCTACTTGGATGTCTAGTGTGGCTCATCGGAACTTTGCTCTAGCCATATGCTAGAGCA